CCATGTCTAGGCTTGTGGCCCATGCAGCCACTGAGGGCCATGAGTGGGTCAATGGTCCTGATATAACCAAGGACCATGTTGATGTCTGTAGCTGTGTTACCACCGAAGTCCATGTGAACTCTTGTGGTCTGGGCTACTGCCTGAAGCCATGTTAATACCCCTGAGAGCCTGAAAGAGTTGGCCCTGCCCATCTCAGAAGAGTTGGCCCCAACCTTTGCTGGCCCACAGCACTGTGGTACAGGCAGTGACAATGGTATGGGAGAGCTGGCCCCGCCCTGTTCCCACCACAAGGCTCTCCTCAATTGATGGTTTCTGGAATGGATACAGAGAAAGCTTCATCCTTCCATAGAGGGCTGGTCACTAGGAATTTGAACATGCTTCAATGAATATATGTACAACCCAAAATGTACTTTGTGTGTGTGTGTGGGGGGGGGCGCGCGACAGGTCACGGACACATGGGGGACAGGGGGATGTGGGGGGAGACCGGGGACAGGGGATATGGGAAGACTTGGAGTTTAGTGTGATTAGGGTGCATCATGTGATTATTTCCAAATAATCAATACAAAAATAATTAAAACAAAAAAGGAAAAACTTCCCAGACTTTCATTTACAACAGTTTTGTGCTGTGGAATGTTCTGTATGGCAAATGTGTTGCTAATTAGTTAATAAACAAAACACTGATTGGCCATTGGCTAGGCAGGAAGTGTAGGCGGGACAAGGAGGAGAATAAAGCTGGGAAGTGGAAGGCTGAGTCAGAGAGACACTGCCAGCCGCCATGATGAGAAACAGCATGTGAAGATGCCGGTAAGCCACGAGCCACGTGGCAAGGTATAGATTAATGGAAATGGATTAATTTAAGCTGTAAGAACAGTTAGCAAGAAGCCTGCCACGGCCATACAGTTTGTAACTAATATAAGTCTCTGTGTTTACTTGGTCGGGTTTGAGTGGCTGTGGGACTGGCAGGTGAGAGAGATTTGTCCTGACTGTGGGCCAGGCAGGAAAACTCTACCTACAGTTTTGTCATAAGAACACTTACAGAGCCATTCTTTTCTGAACCTTCCCCACAACTGCATAGGCAGAGGTTAGTTAAGACAGAGAGGTTAAAGGAAGACAAGGAGGCAGTGTCTGTATCTAAACTAGGTATTGTGTCTCAAGCCTGTAATCACAGCATTCAGGAAGCCGAGGCAGCAGAATCATCAGTTCCAGTAGAGCCTGGGCTATATGGTAGCCTAGGTCCCATACAGAGATTGTCTCAAAACACAGCACAAAAGGATATAAAAATATATACTTAGGAATTCATCCACCATGTATTTCCTTCAACACTTCACATACTTGTCAGAAAATACCTATTGGCTAACATTTACTTCATTTTATTTCTAGTCATACATCCCTATATTTAACCTATAATAAAAACATCACCTACAGGCTAAATGAAAAATGAATGGTTAATACATAAACCATTCTATTCATTTTTTTCTACTTCAATCCTTTAAAGAATATGAAATGTACTCTTTTTTCCACTTTTTGTGGGTTGAGGGGTAGGGGAAGGCATGAAATCCAGAGGATAATGCATAGTAGGCAAGTGCTCTATCACTGAGCTACAGTCTCAGTTCTATTTTTCACTTTTTGGCATAGCTAGAACCAGATTTAAGTGATCATAAACTACAACTTTAGCAAGGATGGAGGTATCACAAAAGGGTAGATTTGGGGTTTTGTGCACAACCAAGGCCCAAATAATGAAACCTACCATTAACACAGAATTAATACTTGAAAATCTTTGTACCAAAACATCAGCAAGAACAGCAAACTGGCCTGTTCCTTGCAGAACTATAACCCTTTCTAAATTTGTGTTTGGAGACTCCTTATTTCTTCAAGTGTGTGTTGGGGAGTGATGGGGTTCTTGTTCAAGGACCTGATGCTAGAAACTGACCTGGGAAAACTGTGTCTAAAAATACCAGAACCTAGTCAGGCATGGTGGCTCCCGCCTTTGGGGAGAGGTGGGACTTGCCATGAATCGAAAACCAGCCTAGTTTAAGAATGAGACCCTATTTAAAAACCAAAACAAAGACAAAAACTAAAAAATAACCTCTATTCAGTTTCTTGGCTGAAGACAAAAAATAGCAATTCGAGACTTCCTTTTACCAAATATGACAAAGTATCTGTGGATTTGATTTACTAGGTGAATCAACAAACACTTGTGTAGGTAGGTATCTGAGGGGTCAGTACACATCAAGTAAAATGATGAGCTCTCCTTCCATCAGTGGGCACACTCACAAAAAATATAATTTTCATTTCAGTGGTGAAGACATTTTTTTATTATTTTTGTGGGTAATTTTTAAAAACATTTTGAGTATTCAAACGTGTATCTCTTCCCCCTCTAATTCTTCTCATGGCCCCCACAAACTCATCTTCTTGACCTCATCTTTTTTTTTTTTTGGTTTTTCGAGACAGGGTTTCTCTGTGTAGCTTTGTGCCTTTCCTGGAACTCGTTTTGTAGACCAGGCTGGCCTCGAACTCACAGAGATCCGCCTGGCTCTGCCTCCCGAGTGCTGGGATTAAAGGCGTTCGATGACGATGACGATGACGATGACGATGGCGACGACGACGACGACAACCACCATCACCTGTATCTCATCTTCTTTATTGTTTTACATACACATACACACACACACACACACACACACACACACACACACACACACACACACCTATATATAAATACAACCTGCTGAGTCGATTTAGTGTTGCTTATCTGTGTATGTGTTTAGGGATAACCATTGGAGGTTGGATGGAAACTCTATCAGAGGGCCCATCCCTGGAAAAGACGCACTGTCCTTTTCTTAGCTGCTATTGCCTTCCAGTAGCTCTTCAACTAAAGGTGGGGCCTTGTGAGAGTCCCATCCATGTTTGGCTGTCAACTGTGCAGGTCTTATTTAGACAATAACTGTTAAGATTTCATGGGGGCAGATCCCTGTCATATGCAGAAGACACGACTGTACACCAGACATCCTGGTCCTCTCACTCTCAGTCTTTCTGCCCTCCCCTCTTTCAAAATGTTCCCTGAGCCTTAGGTGTAAGGGTTGTTGTAGATGCATCAACTGGAGACAGGCACACCAGCCAGTTGTTCTCTGCATTTTGATTAGTTGTGGAGAACTGTAGTGGCCTCCATCTGCTGCAAAGCTTCTTAAACAGGGTGTATGGAGGTGGGTGGGAGGTGGGTTATACATATTTACATATTTGTGGACATATGGATAGGTATTTAGAATGCTGTTGGGAATTATACTGGTTTAGGAGGGCAGCAGTGGTTGGCTTACAGTATCACACGACTCCAGGCCTAAAGTTCACTAGGTGACTGTTGGTTACCCTTGAGATACAGGTACCACTATTGCGCCCAATCTTGCTGTCCTGGTCATTGTTGTTGTTTGTAGGTTTTACAGCTAACTGCTCAGGGTTTTTAACTGCTTTTCTTCCTTGGCAGCTTGCACGGCACCTTGAGATGCTAATGAGAGCTAATCCTCTAGGAGAAGGCTTTCAAGTCGGTTCCAACTTGAACCCTGGTAGAGACCCTTGTAGAAATAATAATTATAATTTCACAGCCATGCATAGTGGCAAATGCCTGCAATCTGTTTATTCAGGAGGCCTTGGCAGAATCACCAAGTTCCAAGCCATCGAGGGTCTTGTCTCAAAACTGAAGAAGGATGGGGATGTAGCAGTGGTAGTACCTTTCTGACATATTTGTGCCCTGGGTCCAATTTCCATTTTTAAAAAAAGATAAATTATTACCACTTTCTTTAGGTGCTGAGAGGTAACCTAGGGCTTCCAGCATGGTCACCATTAAGCTCACCAGATACCATCACTAGCCTGCAGGAACAGGTACATCATCACTCAATTCTCTGTGTGTGTTAAACTGGTCTCAAACTCCTGATCCCCTTGCCTCAGCCATCCTTAGTTCCAGAGTATTGATGCTGGGCTAACCCGTATGTTCACCATACTAGGTTTTGAGGCAGTCTCCCTGTAGCTCAGGCTGGCCTCAAACCTGAATGTCTGACCCTCCTGTCTCCATCTTCCAAACTCTGGGATTACAGCCCTACACTGTGACCTGCTGTTTTTTAAATTTTGGGTAGCTTTATTTTATGTATGTGTACATGTGCACCCACATAAGCCACATGTGTGTGGATAAGCCATCAATTGGCACAGGATCCCCTGGAGTCGGAGTTTCAGGTAGCAACCACCCTAGGAGGGTCTTGGGAGCCGAACTAGGCTCCTCTGACTTGGCAGTAAGTACTGTTAAGTAGTAAGCCATCTTTCCAGTGCCCCGCCCACCTGTGTTCTGTTTCACCTTGTTTTGTCCAGGATATGTCGCTGCTTCCGCGGCTGGCCTGGAATTCCCTGGCTTCCTAACCTTCCATGCATGTACAGGCATGCGCTTCCATGTCACCAGTTGTCTGCAGAGCTGGGGGCTGAATTCGGGGCCTTGTGCCATGCCAGGCAGAACGTGCTAAGCTCCCCCAGATCCCCGGGGCTTTCCAACGCTTGTCCAGGACACGGGGCGGTCCCCGCGGCCCACTGCAGCCCGGGACCCCCCGGCCTGGCTGCCTGGAAGCACGGAAGCCGCCCTCTCACGTTCTGGCGCTAAAGTTTGGGCCAATGGCGCTGAGTCCCACGGGAGACTTCGGACCAATGGAGGGGCGGCTCACGCGACAGGCTGGCCACGTGACGCGTGCGGGGCCGCCGCCCACCTGGGCCGGAGGTAGCGCGATGGCCGCACTTCCAATGGCTCGCACAACTCGCAGTCACGTGCAGTGTTTACGGACTCAGCAGCTGCGGGCGGGTCATGTGACCGTGACGCGACGCCCCGCCGCTGTCCAATGGAGTAGGGAACGCCCCCTCACAGACCGGGAACTACTTTCCCTCCGCCAATGACAGCGCGGAGGGGCGGGGCCAGCCCGTCACGTGAGCGGGGCGGGGCGGGGCGGCACTGGCTGCGGGCGAGCGCGGCGCGCAGGCGCCGTGGGGACCCGGTAGCGGCGGCGGCGGCGGCGGCGGCGCTGCTAGCTGGTGGCTTGACTGAGCGGGAGGCGCCATGGCGGCGGACGGAGAGCGCTCTCCGCTGCTGTCCGAGGCCGGCGATGGCGGGGCTGGAGGCAACGGCTTAGCGGGCCCGGGCGGGAGCGCGACTGGGCCCGGTGGAGGCCTGACGCCCTCCGCACCTCCGTACGGAGCCGGTAAACATGCCCCGCCCCAGGGTAAGCCGGCGGTCTGAGGTGCACCGGGGCCTAGGGGCGGATCGGGCCCGAGGGGGGCGGAGCCTGCTCCGGCGCCAGGTGCGGCACCATGGCACCTGTCACGGGGCGAGGCATCCTTCTTCCTCCGCGGCAGTCCCTGCCGCCGGAGCCTGGCACGGAAGGGGGTCTGAGGGAGACGCTCCGACCGCCGTTCACGAGAAGCCCGTCGAGCTTTGTCAGGAGGGTTCCCCACCGCCGGGGAGCACCCGTGGGAAGTGCCCGAATGATGATTTGCGTTTATCTGCTTCCTCTTCAGCGTTTCCCCCGTTCCCCGAGGGGCATCCAGCCGTGTTGCCTGGAGAGGACCCACCCCCCTACTCACCCCTCACTAGCCCGGATAGTGGGAGTGCCCCCATGATTACCTGTCGAGTCTGTCAGTCTCCGATCAATGTGGAAGGCAAGATGCATCAGCATGTAGTCAAATGTGGTGTCTGCAACGAAGCCACTGTGAGTTAGTTATACCTATCTGCAAAAAATGGGCCCCCGTTTCCTGGATCCTCTTTCCGATTCTAGACCCTGTTCAAGACCTCTTCATGACACCCACTTTCAGTTCCTGGATCTTCAGCAGCCATGTCTTCAGAAGCCGCTCACCAAAGATAACGTCCGCCGGCTCTCACTTTTACACCTCTCCTGGATCCTAAAGCGTAGTTCTCACTGGCAGTTGTTGTAGTTGCTTTTGATTTTTGTATTTTGGGGTTCTCCTGTTTTGTTTTGTTTTTTGTTTTGTTTTGAGACAGTCTCACAATGATCCAGGCTCACCTCAGACTCTGCACTCTTCCTGTCTCTGCCTCCTGAGTGCTGAGATTACAGACTACTATGCTGGCAACATTTGTATCTCTCAAATGTCTTGACTTTTCCTTTCTCAGTGATGTTGTTGGAGAGGGTTGGGATAACGGGCTTGCTTGCTGATATACCCATTGTTCCTTTATTCACTGTCCTCCAGCCCATCAAGAATGCACCCCCCGGAAAGAAGTATGTTCGATGTCCCTGTAATTGTCTCCTTATCTGCAAGGTGACTTCCCAGCGGATTGCCTGCCCTCGGCCCTACTGGTAAGAGACATAAGGTGGGAAGGCCATGCTTGGGCAAAACTGTAAAGAAATAAAACCAAACCAAACCTGAAGCTGGGCAAGGTGGTGCATGCCTATAATCAGTCCCAGCACCTGTGAGGTGGAGGCAGGAAGCTTTGTATAGCACCTTGGATTCCTGGTTGTTCTGCTGGGATTCTATGTGTCATCAGATCCAGTTAAAATGAAGAACTTTTAAAAACGTACTTTTCCCCCTGTATAGCAAAAGAATCATCAACCTAGGGCCTGTGCATCCAGGACCTCTGAGTCCAGAACCACAGCCAATGGGTGTCAGGGTCATCTGTGGACATTGCAAGAATACGTTTCTGGTGAGGAGGGATATTGGGAAACCCTGGAGGAGGCAAGTACTAGGAATAGTAGTAAATCCTGAAAAGACTATCCTATTTCTCATTTTTCTTGCCTTGGGCTTCTCATTGAGGAGAACCTTATTCCCATGGTTGTTTTTCTTTTTCCATAGTGGACAGAATTCACAGACCGAACTTTGGCACGGTGCCCTCACTGCAGGAAAGTGTAAGTGGTTAGGCATTGCACTGGTAACTGGGTAATGTCTGGCATAAAATCAGCAGGCCTATTCCAAATCCCCACTTCTGTTGGCTCCCCACAGGTCGTCTATTGGGCGCAGATATCCTCGGAAGAGATGTGTCTGCTGTTTCTTGCTTGGCTTACTCTTGGCAGTCACTGCCACTGGCCTTGCTGTGAGTAGTCCTGGTGCAGGACTTATTTGTCTCATCAACAGGCTAAGATCTGAGAAGCTGGTACCTTAAAGGATGGTGAAAGAGCTGGGTGATGGGGTATGTCCTTGACTCTAAGAATAGAGGCAGTTCTAAGGTAGCCAGGGCTACAGAGCAAGGCCCCATCTATAACACAAAAACAGGGAGGGGATTGTTGCCATTTCCAGAAGTGGCTTAGCTGGTCAGAGTGTTGCCCTAGCATGCATGAAGCCCTGGGTTTGATCTCAGCACCATATGAACTAAGCATGGTGGTACAAGCCTAGGTCCCGGCACTTAGGAGGATCGGATTTCAAGGTCATTCTCAACTACAGGATTTGAGGCTGCTCAGGTTGGCTACATAAGACCCTTGCCTTAAAAAAACAAACTAAATCGGAAGAACGTGGTGACAGGATGGGGGAACACTTTCAGGTACAGGTAAACTAAAGTTAAATGTGACTAATAAACTAAGAAGTAAAAGAAGGTATTCCCACTCTAGAGAGAAAAATGAGTTGTTACTAGGAATCCTGGTTCACTTGTTAGACGTGAGAAACACTGGCAGATGTCTGGGATGGCAGGAGTACTTTCTTGCATAGGGGAAGGAAGCTAAACCACCTGATCTTTGGAAAGGTCCCTGAAGGGTTACAAGGGACTAGGGTACGGAGCAGAAGTTGGCGTTGTATTACTGTTCCTAACACTGAAGCAGCAGACACTGAAAGTAACCTCTTCTTTTTCTTCTTCCTCGTCTGTCAGTTTGGCACATGGAAGCATGCACAGCAATATGGAGGTATCTACGCAGCCTGGGCATTTGTCATTTTGCTGGCTGTTCTGTGTTTGGGCCGGGCCCTTTATTGGGGCTGTATGAAGGTCAGCCATCCTGTCCAGAACTTCTCCTGAGCCCCTTGATCCAGTCTGTGCCTGGCGGCTGCCTGGCAGCAACATTAACACTACAAAAGGCTCTCTGGACTTCTGCAAGGAAGCCAAGCAGCTGCCTCCCTTTCCCCTGGGGAGAGGTAGGAAGGAACCAGTCCCTTACTTAGGTTTGGAAGGGTAGGTAAGACCATTGCTGGCTGTCTGCTTTCCTCCAAGGGTTGCTGTTTAGGGTAACTAGGCGAAACATTGCCCCTAAGCCTGAATCCTAAAGATGGTTCTAGCCATGTCCTTCCTCTCTGTGCTCCCTGAGAACCATTCCTGACCCTTACACATTCCAGGGCAGGGTGGGGGTGGGAAGTGTGTGTGGGGGGGTGCTGCCCTCCCTCTTGTGCACCATTAGGACCTTGCTGCTGCTATTGCACTTCACCAGGGGCTGGCTCTGGCCTCCTCCTCAGTCCCTTCTCCCCACACTTCTTGTCCTGTGGGGTGGGGTCAGCCACTGCTCTGTACAGAACTACAGGAACTGATGTAGATAGAACTATTTAATATGGGATGTGTTCCCCTAATCCTGTATTCCCCTGAATTCCTCCTTCCGACCTTCCTTACTTCCAGTTGCAGTACTGAACTGGGCTGAGGTAGGGTCACTGTCTCGGGAGAGGTTAGGGATTCATCTGTGCTTGTAAATAAATAATGTCATGAATCTAACCTTTCCCATTTAACAACTTTTGTGTATGAAAAAATAAAAAAGGGAATTTGTAGATTCACAAAAGGGAAACAAAGGTAGCAAAGTTGAAAGTAGGGCCTTTTTATTTTTAGTTGGATGGTTGAAAGTAAACCAGAAGTTTGGTTTAACACTTAAAACAGGGGGACACATACAAAAACCAAAACCTGGGCCTAAAGGACACCTAAAGAAGAGATAAGAAATACATTGGCCTTTACTAGAAAGCAATTAAGTTTACTGGGGAAGAGGCAGCTACTTCCCAGGAGTAAAGTTACTTCAGCAGGGGTGTCACAGTGCTAGGTAAAGGGTGATGGGACAGTGGTCACTGCCAAGAGCCTTGGAGCGGATCTTACTGTCACACAATGCAGGTAGAAGGGAGTGTGACAACAGAAAGTAATCAAGGCGCCAACCAACATTCTTAGACCGAGCATTCATCATGTAAGTCCAGAAAGTGTAAGCATAGGCGGTGTTGGGGTAGAGATGCCGGAAGCTGTCAGCCAGTGGGACATCCTGGAGCAACTCCCCAAAGCCTTGGCGCTCCTGGGGAGTAAAGCCAGCATTCTTTTTGTTTCCTTTGGGGTTACGAAGGTCAATTTCTTCATGAGCCACATTGAGATCCCCACACAGCACAAGTGGCTTTCGGGAAGCCACGTCCTTCAGAAACTTACGAAAGGCTGCATCCCAGCGCTGTCGGTACTCCAGTCTTACCAGACCTCTGCCTGCATTGGGAACGTAGGCTGTTACCAGGACAAAGGAATCAAATTCAGCCACAATCACCCGGCCTTCTTGATCATGCTCTTCCTCGCCTAAAGAAATGAAAATCAGCATAAGATTAAAAAAAAAAAATCTAAGAAGCAGCAGAGTTACCAACTGGCTGAAGAACATTCAGACATAAAACTCAATAGGGTCTCACCAATGCCATAAGAGACTTTGAGTGGGCACTGGCGGGAAAGTAAACCCACACCACTATATCCTTCTTTGTCTGATGGAGCTGACCAGTACTGATGGGTGAGTCCAGGCAGGTCTTGAAGTTCAGCCGGGAGTTTGTTCTCTGAGCATTTGGTTTCTTGGAGGCACAAGATATCTGGTGCTTCTTCCTTTACCCACTGAATGAAACCGTGAAAAGTTAAAATCTTTTTATGTGATATATATACTATGCACATAACAAGAGTCCCTGTACATAAGGAATTCAAGCGGCAGAATATAATCAATCATGTGACTGACAAAAATGCCTGTGAGCCGCCTGACTTGGGTACTGGAAACCTAATTGGAATCTCAAAAAGCAAAGTGCTCCTAACTGCTGAGCCTTCTCACCAGCCCCCTCCTCCACTTACATCTTCACTAGTTATGGGGATCAAGGACAAGCTAGAGACCGGAGTTTTTTACCCCGACATTCTAGGGACTAGTTAAAAAGGATATGAAACAAGGTGATTGGGATTGAAGGAACAGGCAGTCGTCCCCCCTGCCCCCCCAACAGGCAAGAGAAAAGTAACACCCTCTGGACTCAAAGGAAACAAGATGATTCATTCTTAAGACTGGTCTATCAAGGAAAGTCTACTTCCCTCTTGAATTGTACTCACATCTAAACCTTTCTTCTTAATCCAGGCTCGAAGCCCATCCACATTCCAGGAGCATATCTTGAGTGTGGCAGATTTGCCACTGGGTGAGGTTTTCTGATCTGGAGGGTCCTCATACAGAACAGGGCCCTCCCCTGCGGCCTCTTTCTCGTTTTTCTTTGCTGCCCCTTTACTCTTCTTGGTCTCTGGCTCTGTAAAACGAGTAAAGCATTAAGAGCTGGCGGTTTCCAACCTCAGCCCAGTGTTGACTACAGTCCCATGAGACGCACTGGTTACCCTAACTTCTCGGACTCCTGCAATGCAACTTGGTCCATATTTACCGCAGTTCATGGTGGTCTTCTAATAGAGTCCTATAAACTTGTCGGGGAGGGGTGGGTACGACCCATGCTCATTTCACCTCCTTACCCGGCTTGGGTTCTTCCCCGTCTTCTGCCGCCGCTCTCTTCCCACGCTTTGGCATCCCTGTGACGAAAGCCCTTAGGCGCCTGGAGCACCGAAGAAGCAGTGTTTACTGCCTTGCCTACAGATAAGAAACGGTGAAATCAAACACAGGAGGAAGCGAGCCTCCCCCTCAGGCGTTCGCACACCGAGGGGCCTCGGTTCGCCCAGTCTCCCCGCCGTGGGCATCGCAGCCCCTCGCCCCCGTTAGGCCCTTCAGCGTGCAAGGTGGCCGAGCCCGCTAGAACAAGCTACCTGACCTCCCGACGAAGCCAGGGAGCCCCTCACAGCACAAAGAATGGAGCCTGCCTGCTCCCACGTGGGAGATGGTGTGGTCACGTGACGCGAGATCGCCCGCCCTCCACGTGGATCGGGAGTGCGGTGATTGGTCCGCCGGGCACCTCGTGACGTCACTTCTGGCGCCTGAAGGTCCCTTCGCTTGGTTCTGGGCTGTTCGTGGTGGTGCCGGTTCCGACTAGTCTTACCACCCGGGATCCCGAGTCTGGGTGCACCATGCCCGCGGTGCTGGGGTTCGAAGGCAGCGCCAACAAGATCGGCGTGGGCGTGGTGCGCGACGGCACGGTGCTGGCGAACCCGCGGCGCACCTACGTCACGGCCCCGGGCACCGGTGAGTGGCTGCGGCCGGGGTCGCCGGCGCCTTGTCCCATTCACAGGGTTTTGTTCAGTGGGGGGTTCTTCCCCGATATTCTGTCCCGCTGCCTGCTTCGGCTTCCCGGGTGTTGGTATCTGCGCCCAGACACCCTTTTACAAAAACTTGATCGCGTTTGGTTGCTAACTCTTTGACGGCCAGAAGTGTCACAGGCACGTGGACATAAGTGGCTTCGTTCAGGGTTTTGTTTTTTGTTTTTTTAATATTTTGAGACAGGGTCTCACTATGTAACCCCGACTGTCCTGGAACTTGCTGTGTAGGCCAGGCCGGTCTCGAACTCAGTCTGCCTATGCCTCCTGAGTGCTGGGAATAAAGGTGTGAGCCACTCCGCCCGGTTGTCTTCAGATTTTATTGAGCACCTTTTATGTGCTAAGCATTCGAAAAATAAGTGTTCCGAGGCTGCTCTGTAGTCGCACATAGAGATTATTTTACACTACCGCATGATACATATAAAAGTTTAGAATGAGAAAGGACAGCAGGGCGGATATCAGAAGTTACTGTATTTTCAATCTGTTGTAGGTGTCGAATGGAAATGAGTATCAGTGGGTTTTGAGAACTATGTGAAAGCACCAGACACTGCACAATTCTCAGTTAAGATTGTTTACAAATTGTATCTTGCCTACCCTCCCTCAAAGCATCTGCACACACATATAAGCTGCATGTAGCTGTAAAGGCTCCCCAAACAAGTGTGGTGTTTCAGGTTACACAGTAGAAGAATATGTGTGCTTAGGACTCCCTCTTTTAGGCACTGGGACTGGGTTACTTAAGTTAAAGGGGAAGCTACTGACACTTGTAGTGCTGTAGTTATTATGTGTTAAGTCCAGCAACATGACCTTGTGCAGTGTAGGCTTCTGTGGGCGCACAGAGAAAGTCACTGAAGAGTAGGAGGTATGTGTATGTTGAATTGACTCTGAAGGTTGTATGTGAACATAGGCATCTCTGAAACCTAAGTAGCCTGTATAGAGGTTGGAAAGAAAGCTGAGTTGTGGTGCAATATGTAATCACAACACTAGAGAGGCTAAGACAAGAGGATTTGAGTTTAAGGCCTCCTGGCTTATGTGTGACCTTGTCTCAAAATTAGGGTCTTGAAACGAGGATTTCTTAAAACCTAGGCAAGTAAATGGATTTTTTTTTTTTTTTTTGCTACATCTTTAAAACATTATTTTGTTGGTTTTTATTTCTAATAGGTCGGTGCAAAAGTAACTGCAGTTTTTGCATTGTTGAAATTTGTAGTTTGAGACTGGAATAAACGTGTAGTCATTCATTATCATTCTCTCCCTCCTTCCCCTCTTGCCTGCCTTTGCCTCCCATGTGCTGGGACTGCAGGCTTGTGCTATTATGCTTAGCTAGGAAAATTCCGCAGGGCCTCATTTTAATGTGCATTTATCACATCTTGGTTTGGTTTGGGGTGAGTTTTTTGTTTTGGGGTTTGTTTTTTTTTTTTGATAGTAACATTACTTGCTGTTTATTTATATTTATACTATGGCAATGATGTTAGACAAAAAGTAAAACTAAAGCTCAAACCTGTAATCCCAGTACGCAGGAGACAGAAGCAAGCAGAGATCTGAGTTTGGGGCCAGCCTGGTCTATAGAGCAAGTCCCAGGCCATCCAGGGCTACATTGTAAGACCCTGTCTCAAAATAAATAGATAATAGAAATAGAATTAAACAATTACTTTGAGTTCAGAATGGGCAGGGGGCAGTGGAGACCGCTTGAAACATAAACAATACGTAACGTTTTGGCCCCAGGAACTGCTAACGGACAGGACCTTGGTTGCTTGAGAGCCCTGAAATGGCTGGCTATTGGAAGCTGACTGTGACCTTGTTATTGTGAGCAGCTGTGGAAGCCAGTCTTACAGCTACAGAAAAATTTGCCAGAGAACTCAGTGTGGACCAGTCAGTGATCATTGGGTATTTGAAGTGAGTTGGAAAGTTTTTTAAAAACGCTCAGTAATTTGCTGCCTCATAAACAGACAAAGCTGAAGTAGCCATTATCTTCAGCTCTCAGCCGTGAACCATATCTCAGTCAGATTATGACAATGACAGAAGGTGGATTGTGTAGGAAAACTGGCCACAACCGGCTTAACGGCGCCAAAGCACTTCCCAAAGCCAGACTTTCACCAAAAAAAGTCCCAAACACTGGTGGTCTGCTGGGGCTCTGGTCCACTATAGATTTCTAAATCCCCGTGAAACCATTGCATCTGGGAAGAGTTCTCAGCAAGTCATTGGGATGCACCAAAACTGCAGTCTGCGTCGGCAAACAGAACAGGCCCGATTCAGAACAGTGTCTGACTGCATGTGGTATAACCAGTGCTTCAGAAGCTAAATGAAGTCAACTGTGGAAGCTTTACCTAATCCACGACACTTGCCTGACATCCCATCAACTGACTACCATCTCTTCAGCATCTTGACAACTTTTTGAAAACATTTCCACACCGAGGAGGGTGCAGAAAGTGCTTTCTGAGAATTTGTTGAAACATAGGTTTGCTTTGGGAATAAACAAACTCAGTTTTTTTGTCTTGGTTTTTTTTTTTTTTTTTTTTTTTTGGTTTTTCGAGACAGGGTTTCTCTGTGTAGCTTTGCGCCTTTCCTGGAACTCACTTTGGAGACCAGGCTGGCCTCGAACTCACAGAGTTGTCTTGGTTTTTATTTGTTTATTTTGTTGTTGTTTGTTCGTTTGTTTGTTTTTGAGGCAAGGTCTTTGTACAAAGCTCTGGTTGTCCTGGAACTCCCTTTGTAGACCAGGCTGGCCTCAGAATCATAGAGATCCACCTGCCTCTGCCTCCTGAGTGCTGGGGTTAAAGGCGTGGGCCACCTTGCCCAACTTACAAATTGGTTTCTTGGTAAAATGTGTTTGTTAAAATGGTTCCCGTTTTTGATTAATAAAAATGTGTTTGAACCTAGTTATAATGATTTACAATTTATAGCCCCATATCACAGTTCCCTTTGCACCAACCTAATACCTACCTTCTTAGGCGGTTCTTGATCTGTATACCTTTCCTTAGGATTCCTTCCAGGTGATACGGCCAGGCACCATCGAGCTGTTATCCTAGACCTACTGCAAGAGGCACTAACAGAAGCTGGACTAACCTCCCAGGACATTGATTGCATTGCTTACACCAAAGGTAAGCCTGGGAGAGTGGTCAGCAAGGGAGGAATATGGGTGGAGCCACAGTCACTACCTGTACACATTCTCAAATCTACTTTCTTCACCTGTTTCTCCTAATTTCTAGGATTCTAATGTCCATTTGTACCCTGTTAGGTCCTGGTATGGGAGCCCCATTGGCTTCTGTAGCTGTCGTTGCCCGTACTGTGGCCCAGTTGTGGAATAAGCCTTTGCTAGGTGTGAACCACTGCATAGGCCATATTGAAATGGGCCGTCTCATCACTGGAGCCATTAGCCCAACTGTTTTGTATGTCAGCGGAGGAAATACTCAGGTACTTAAGAGTAATCTTCGTGTTTCATCATAATTCTGAGGTATTCTACCTGAGTTGGAGGAGCTGCTGAGACAAAACCAGGCTCTTTTGGACCTAAGATAATACAGGAAACAGAACAGAGGTGTAAAGTTGCAAGTTTTAGAAGAGAATTAAAATGCTAGAACTTTATACATGCAACTAGAATTTCCAGTTTAAAAAGGAAGGAATGTGGATTTAACCCTTCAAGATATATACATATACACACACACACATACACATATATGTATATTATACACACACATTTATTTATTTATTTATTTATTTATTTATTTATTTATTTATTTATTACGTATGTGGGTGTTTTGCCTGCATATATTTAGGAGCCCAAGGAAGACAGAAGAGAGCATTAGATCTGAGGAACTGGAGTCATAGACAGTTGTGAGCTACCATGTGAGTGCTGGGAATTGAACCCAGGTCCTTTGGCTGGGATCACAAGCCTGCTGTTTTTGTTGTTTTATGCTGTCTGTGACAGGGTCTCACTGTGGTAGACAGGTTTTCCCTGTATTATTTTGATCTTCCCAACTCCTCCCAAGGGCTGCGATTTCAGGTTCGTGCCACCACATCTGGCGCACTCTTTTCCTATTTTCTCATGGAATGTCGGTGTGGATCGCCACAACAAACTCTATTTTGGCTTTGGCTTTGGTTTGTATTCTTATTTTTTAGGGTTTGTTTTTGGTGTGTCTGTCTGTGTCTGTGTCTGTGTGTGGTTTCTGTTTGTTAGGCTACATAATGCAGGATGTTTGATGAGTTTGTGTAATCTTTGCCCAGGGGCTCTGCTAATCTCTGCATCATTACAATTTTAGTGTGTGTGCTGCAAAGTAAACACTGGTTTGTTGCTTCTTTGAAAAAAAATTTTTTTAATTTGGCAACTCTATACATGTGTGTAATATCTTGGTCATATTTGGGTTTATTTATTTTGTGTGTGTATGATATGTGTGAGATATGGACAAACGAGTGTGTGTGTGTGTGTGTGTGTGTGTGTGTGTGTGTGTGTGTGTGAGTCCACCCTTTTTATGTAGGTTCCAGGGATCAAGCTCAGGTCTCTAGACTCACATGACAAGTGTTTTTGCCTTCTGAGCCATTTTACCAGCTCCTGGTTTGGTTTTCTTGAGATGAGGTCTTGCTGTATGTCTAGGCTGGCCTTAAATTCCACTGTGTAGCCAGACATGGCTGCCTGTCAGCCTCACCAGCAGTAGAATTACAGGTCTAAGCCATTTGTAGACAACTTCCTTCCCTTCTTACTGGAATGTGTATTGTTGGCACTGTGCTACTTTCTTCCACATAGCTAAACACTCCTCTCTATAGACTTGAAGTTTCCTGGGCATTCTCACCCTTCTTAGGTGATTTCCTACTCAGAACATCGTTACCGCATCTTTGGGGAAACTATTGACATTGCTGTGGGGAATTGTCTGGACCGTTTTGCTCGAGTGCTGAAGGTAGGCCATTGAGACTGTGGAGTGCGTAAGATGTGGATCTGGGGAGCCAAAGAAATAAAATGCAGGAAATAGTAAATAGCTCTTGGGCTTCTTGAATATCTAATTTCATTCTCTGCAACTTTCTTTTTTTTTTGGTTTTTTTTTCGAGACAGGGTTTCTCTGTGTAGCTTTGCTGGAACTCACTTGGTAGCCCAGGTTGGCCTCAAACTCACAGAGATCCGCCTGGCTCTGCCTCCCGAGTGCTGGGATTAAAGGCGTGCGCCACTACCGCCTGGCTCTCTGCAACTTTCTTTAACATAGGTAGACATAATTTAACATAGGTAACATAATTAAGCGTTTATGTCTGTATGTTATCTATTACTTGGTACAAGCGTGTTTGTTCCTCTCTATGTATACAGTTTAAAAAAATATATACTGATTGCTTTTCTTCACCTCGATTTGGGGAGGACCCAGAGTGATGGGTATGTTCATGTGTGTAGAAGAATTCATTTTACATGATGCATTCATGCTTCTCTGCCTCTCTTTCCTCCTGCCGGTAGATTTCCAATGACCCGAGTCCGGGCTACAACATTGAGCAGATGGCAAAGCGGTAAGAGGACATAACGTTGAAGAGCACTGGCCGCTCGTGCTTTAGAACTTTCTTTTCATATGTAGTGATGGGGTGTGGGAGGGGGTTTGGAGGGTGAGCAACCAGCTGACCCGATGTTTAGTGCCGTTATTCATTTCTACATAGAGGCAAGAAGCTAGTTGACCTGCCATACACTGTGAAGGGGATGGATGTCTCATTCTCAGGGATTCTGTCCTTCATCGAGGTGAGTGTGAGAGGGTAAGGAGACAGGAGCACATCCCTGCTTTTAAAGTGATGTCTCTACTTTGCTCACTGTTTATTTCCTGCATAAGCATTCACTCATAAGAGGTGCCAGGTAGATTCGTTTAGCAGGTACTGTATCCTTCTTTGTGCCAGGTACTATTCCAATAATAGGGATGCAATGCAGGGCCAAACAATCCCGCCCTACATGGGAAAAAGACTTGAAAACAGCCAGGCGGTGGTGGCGCACGCCTTTAATCCCAGCACTCGGGAGGCAGAGGCAGGCGGATCTCTGTGAGTTCGAGGCCAGCCTGGTCTACAGAGTGAGTTCCAGGACAGGCTCCAAAGCTACACAGAGAAACCTTGTCTTGAAAAAACAAAACAGCACAAAAGGGAAGGAGAAGACGATGTGGGGTGCAGCCCTCCTGTGATCTCAGTTTGTGATGAAGTCAGCAATCCTTCCAAGTGCAGGAATTTTTGTTTTCATGGCAGCCTCACACCGGTACTCATCTTTTGCAGGATGCAGCACAGAGAATGCTGGCCACAGGGGAATGTACTCCCGAGGACCTGTGTTTCTCCTTACAGGTAAAAGAGTGAAAAGCTGGGATGCAAAGCCTGTTCTGGAGTAGAGCTGAACTAAGGTGGGTAGGATGCTGCTCTGATGTCTCCCCTTGTCTGTCTCCCACAGGAGACTGTGTTTGCAATGCTAGTGGAGATCACAGAGCGAGCCATGGCACACTGCGGCTCCAAGGAGGCCCTCATCGTAGGAGGAGTTGGATGTGTGTATCATCGGGCAGTGTGCCTTCCTCCTCGTCCTGACAGTCCTCCCCCCGCCCCCCCCCCCCCCCCCCCCGATGCTCTCCATTACCAGAGATTGGAGGGGTGCCTGTTTCACCTCCTTCCCAATCCTCTTCCCCAGTCTCCTGCAGGAAACTGCCCTGGGAACACAGTTGGTTGCTAGTGAGATGGGCAGCTCTAAGTTCACTGTGGTTCCTGTCCCTTCACAGGTAACACGAGGCTGCAGGAGATGATGGCGGCAATGTGCCAGGAACGGGGGGCCCAGCTCTTCGCAACGGATGAGAGGTGAGCTCCTTTTCTTCGTCTTGAGTTCTTCTCTTCCCATTATTGTGGTTTTTCTTTGTTTAGGCCACAAGATGCCTTCTCTCTTCCTCCCCAGATTCTGCATTGACAATGGAGCCATGATAGCCCAAGCAGGTTGGGAGATGTTTCAGGCTGGACACAGGACCCCTCTCAGAGAGTCTGGAATTACGCAGAGGTGAGTGTCATCCTCCTCTGAGAGAGGAGAGAGTAGGTACAGGAGACAGGCAGAAATCGACAGGTAAGGAAGTCGAAGAGCGTGAGGGTCAAGAAGAACAGATAGTGCTGTGGGTGATGGGTGTGGTGGCGTGCACCTGTAATTCCAGCATGTGGGAGGCCAAGGCAGGAGGGAGGATTTTGATTTTGAGATAAGCCTGGGCTGCAGATGCTGTCTCAGAAAACAGAGTGCTAAGGGGTGGTCACAGGGTCTCCTGTTTTCTGCAGGTACAGGACAGATGAAGTAGAGGTGACGTGGAGGGACTGACAACATCAACAGGAACACAACAGCTTTCCAAGTGCTGACGTGGAAGTGAGTCTGGGTGATGCTACGGACTCCCCTCTTCTTTGGAAAGTGTATGGACTCCATACAAGGCGTAGGGTCCCTGTGGGACCCCAGGATGACTCCGCAATAAAAAAATTATTTTTGTACATTGATAATTGGACTGTTTTTCAGGACCAGTACAGAATTGGCACTGAGAAAATTCTTACTGGTGAGGTCAGTGAACAAGCAGGTGAGCATCAGAGTAGCACTCGGTTGATGGTGCAGATAGTTTTGATGGCTGCTGCTTGGAGGAAGCTGTGGAGGAAGCTGTGGGTGCTCTCCTACCATCCCATTAACAACGGTGTCCTAACTAATAGTATTCTAGTGTCACTCCCTGTGATGACTGCTCTACACCTAATGAATTGTGCTCACATTCACTGAAGTAGATATTCAGGACGCCCCTTAAAAAGGCCTGGAAGTAGATCTGATTCATAACTAAAACTCCTGTCCTTCATAAACTTTATTGATGTACTCCTACAAACACTTCACTGGCCAATTTGGGGGGGCACCCCAGATATACAATGCCTCTGCACCAATACAAGCATCAGAACTACAGATAGCATGCCCTTTATCTTGTATATAGTGCCACACGAGGTCCTGAACTACCAAGCTCCTCTTTTACCCACTAGGAGCCATGTGTCTTTCTGTTGCACGAATCCTAAATGGTCTTATAATAAAAACCCGGAGCCAGATATCAGGGTAAATGCTGAAAGTTCAGAGGAAACAAGCCACAGCCACTTCTCACCCCACCAACTCCTCAGCCAAAAGGGGAAGATCCTGTTGTCGCCTCAAATCCTCAGACTGAATGCCCCTGAGTCCTCAGCTGAAAGGGCACAGAACTCCTGTCTCCTGCTTTATATTTCTTTCTCTGCCCAGCCATATTATTTGCTGTGTCATCCTTTCTAGTGCTGGGACCACTGTGTGGCATGATTCTTAGAAGGTCTTATTAATAAAATCAAACCTGAGGCCAGTTACTGGGGTGAATGCTGGAAGATCAGAGAAGCAGATCTTCTCACACAGCTTCCTCACCTCGCCAGTTCCTCAGGTGATCCTATTTCCTTAGACTGGATGCCTCTCAGCTGAACTGTGCTCAAAAGCCTAAAAGCTTAACCAACTAAATGCTTCTAGTTCCTGGTTTTCACGTCTTATATACCTTTCTGCTTTCTGACATCATTTCCTGGGATTAAAGGCGTGAGTCACCATGCCTGGCTGTTTCCAGTGTGGCTTTAAACTCACAGAGATCTGGATGTATCTCTGCCTCCCAAGTGACAGGATTAAAGGCGTGAGTGCCACCATTTTCTGGCCTCTATATCTAGTGACTGTTCTGTTCTCAGACCCCAGATAAGTTTATTAGGGTGCACAATATTTTGGGGAACACAATACCACCACACCACTGCCTGGTTTTGTTTCTCTTTTAGACTGGACTCATCTCATGTAATCCAGGGTGGCTTGTAGTAGGAAGGTTTCTCCAGTCCCACCCGGCTCTGTGGTCCCTCAGTGCTTATAAAATAATCATTTATGCCAGGCGGTGGTGGCACACACCTTTAATCCCAGCACTTGGGAGACAGAGCCAGGCAGATCTTTGAGTTCCGAGGCCACCCTGGTCTACAGAGCAATATCCAGGACAGGCACCAAAACTACACAGAGAAACCCTATCTCAAAAAAATAATAATATAATAATAATAATCATTCAGAGGTTTATATTAATTATGAACTGTATGGCCATTAGCTCAGTGTTATTACTGAGTAGCTCTTACACTCAAATTAACCCATAATTCTTATCTATGTTTTTTAGCCACATGGCTTGGTACCTTTTCTCAGTTCTGCCTTATTGTCTTGCTTCCTCTGTGTCTGGCTGGCGACTCCTGACTTAGCTCTTTCTCTTCCCAGAATTCTCCTTGTCTGCTTATCCCACCTATACTTCCTGCCTGGCTACTGGCCAGTCAGCATTTTATTTATCAGCCAATCAGAGCAACACATTCACAGCATACAGAACGATATTCCACAGCAGTGGATTTTTTTTTTTTTTTTTTGAGACAGTGTTTTTCTGTGTAGCTTTGCGCCTTTCCTGAAACTCACTCTGTAGCCCAAGCTGGCCTTGAACTCACAAAGATCTGCCTGCCTCTGCCTCCCGAGTGCTGGGAGTAAAGGTGTGCATCACCATGACCCACCTCTTGCAGCACACTGTTCCATATATGTGGTGATATATTTGTAATAGAAGAAATAAAGCTTGCCTGAGGATCAGAAGACAGAGCCAGCCACTAGATTAAACAGAGACCAGGCAGTGGTGGCACACACTTTTAATCCTGGCACTGGGGAGGCAGAGATCTGTCTGGATCTCTGTGAGTTCAAGGCCACCCTGGGCTACATGAGATTGATCCAGTCTAGGAGAGAAACAGAGCCAGACAGTGGTGGCACACACCTTTAACCCCAGTATTTGGGAGGCGCACACGCCATTAATCCCAGCACTAGGAAGGTTGAAATAGGAAGTGAAATGGCTGGGCGGAGAAAGACGTAAGGTGTGAGGAGACAGGAACTAGAGAACCTTTCAGCTGAGGACTCAGGAGCATTCAGCCTGAGGATTCGTAGAGACAGGATCTTCTCTTTTCGGCTGAGGAGTTGACAAGGTGAGAAGTGGCTGTGGCTTGTTTCCTCTGATCTTTTAGCTTTAACTCTGATATCTGGCTCCAGGTTTTCATTTTAAGACCATGTGGGATTTGTGCAACACATACCTCAGTCTCATCCCATTCTTTTTCCATAATCTGGTTATTCCATTTATTATTATGCTGAATTCATCCCTTTGCCAGGGACCTGCTGCCCCTTGATCTTACTTCTTTCTATATTATAGTTTTCCTTCCTTGGTTAAATTCCAATAATAAACACCTTGTTGCTGATGCTTCATCTCCCTTTGCCATTCAAAACAAAACAAAACAAAACAAAACAGGATCTCATCAGGCTCAGGCTGGCCTTGAACAAGCTAGCAGAGGATGACCTGATCTGCCTCTGCCTCCCAAGCATGGGCTTATAGGTGTACCCCACCACACCCCATTTACACAGTGTTAGGAACTGAACCCAGAGGTCTGCCAACTGAGCTGAATCCTACTACATAATCATTCTACTTATGTCATACACATCACCTACTTTATACCTATATCTGTGTAACTGAAAGGACAAGCGAAATAGCCATGCTGACTACTCTAACCAATTGATCACAGTGAAACCAAAGGGAGTCCTTCCTGCCACTCAGCAACATTACCTTCCTGACCCTCTCACTCACTGTCTTTAATAACTCCTTATTTTTTGATCCTCAAATCCCCAATATCTCTCTCCCTGTACTCATTATTACCTTAGTTACTTTTCAACTATTTTTTATTGTATATATTTTAACAATTTTAAGTACTTTAATAAGTTAAATAAGTTACTCTATTGCTGTGAAAAGACAGTATATCATAACCAAAAGAAAGCATTTAATTGTTGTTCTCTGTTTCTAAGGGTAATAAAGTCCATGACCATCACAGCAGGGAGCACTAACTAATCTACAAGTTAGAGGCAGAGAGAGAGTAAGTGAAAATAGTGTGGGGGTTTGTAACCTCAGAGCCCATCCCCAGTCACACACCTCCCAATCCTTTCCACACAGTTCCACCAAGTAGGGACCAAGCATTCAAATATATGAGCCTGTGGGGGCCGTTCTCATTCAAACCACACCTTGGTTCTTTAAAGTAGAAGCAAAGAGAACACATTTACCAAGTTCCCAGCATCATACTGAATACTTTCTAGCATTTTCACTTACATACTCTGATTTTTGTCCTGTTAACACAAACCAGAGGTTTCTCAACCAGGTCTGATTTTGTCCTAGGAAGACAAAATGAAGATGCTACTAAAGAGAAGCCAAGGAGGGGCTGGAGAGATGGCTCAGTGGTTAAGAGCACTGGCAGAGGACTTGTTCGATTTCCGGCACCAGGTGGCAGCTCACAATTGTCTGTAACTTCAGTTGCAGGAGATCTGATGCTTCCTGGCCTCAGGCACCAGGCACACATGTGCACAGACATGAGGCAAAACACCCAGGACACATGAAATAAATAAATCCAAAAAAGAGAAGCCAAGGATGCTAGGAAATACCCTACAGTGTATAGCAAAGCCCTATAAATGAGGCTGTATGCAAAAATGTCATTGGTGTCAAGGTTGAAAAACTGCTCCAAACAGCCCATATTCCTGCTCCTGGATGAGAAGTAGGTCTTGCCGTCTGGCAGAAAAATGTGGTTTGGTTTTAGTTTTGGTTTTTTAAAAACTCTATTGCTGTAGGATATCTTTCTGTATGCTGTGATTATGTGTTGCTCTGATTGGTTGATAAATAAAGCTGCATTGGCCTCACTCAGGGCAGAATAAGGTTAGGCGGTACATTCAAACTAAAGACAAGATGAAGAAGGGTGAGTTGGGAGAGACACCAACCCGCCGCCAAAGGAGCAACAAGATGCCAGCAGACCGGTAACACCATGGCCACGTGGCAACATATTAGGAATGGGTTAATTTAAGATGAAAGAGCTAGCAAGAAGCTGAAGCCATACGCCATAGTTTGTAAATAATATAAGCCTCTGAGCGATTATTTTATAAGCGGCTGCGGGACTGCGGGTGAGAGAGATTCGTCTGGACTGCTGGGCAAGGCAGGACCAGAGAAACTTCCCACTGCACTGTATGGAGTACCCATATACAGTTGCTTGACTTGGGCGGTTCTGAGCTATGTCCTAATTGCTTAACAGCCATCCAGCCGGTGTCACTGAGTGTGAGTGAATTGACAAGACAAGTGTACTTCACAGTGCAATTTAAAAGAGTGGTCTCCAGTTTCTTTCTGAATCCTCTATTGAAATCTGTTCTGTGGCTGAGGATGGCGCCTGGGGTGTAAAATGCTTGCTTAGTACAAAGCCCTCCAGTAGTGATGTACACCTGGAACCCCAGTACTCTGCAGGTAGAGGCAGGAAGATGAGTATTTAAAGGTCATCTAGGCATATAATGAGTTCAAGGCTAGCCTGGGCTACATGAGACTCTATTTAAAAAAAGAAAGAAAAAAAAAACCACTCAGGATAGAGAGGCAGATGGATCTGTGAGTTCAAGGCCAGTCAGGTCTACAGAGCTAGTTTCAGGATAGCCAGGACTACACAGAGAAACCTTGTCTCCAAAAACAAAACAAAACAAAAAATAAAATTATCCCAACAGATTTGTTCTTCCCAGGGTCATTAATGACTTGGTCACAGATAAGGGTAGATTCTGGTTCATGTCTGAGTCTGTCTGAAGCATTTGACACTTGCTCTTTGAAATGGTTTTTGACTGTGTGGTCTGCTCTCTAGCTGAGCGTTCTTTGTCTCCTTTGCTGTTTCTCATTTCAGAGTCTTAGCTCGGAATGAGCTGCCTTCTCCCTTCAGTCTCTCGAGTGCTGGCGTGTGCCACCATGCCTGTCCATTTCTGCCGTCCTGACTTCTTAGAATTCAGTCCTCAGACTGTTGACACAGGTGTGTGGGGTGATTTTGTACAGTTTTACACCAGGAAATCCATTTGAATACAGTTGACTCCCTTATAGTTCCAGCCTAGTCTCTCCTCCCAAATACCAAGCTGCCCTTTCGCATCTCTACTTGGGTGCTCACGAGACAACTGGTCTTAGTTAGGGTCTCTAGTGCTGTGATAAAACACCATGACCAAAATCTGCTTGAGGAAGAAAGGGTTTATTTGATCTTACCGTTTGTGGTCCATCATCTAAGGGAGTCAGAGCAGGAACCTGCAGGCACTGGAACCGAGGCCATGGAGTTCTGCTTACTGGCTTGCTCCTTCTGGCTTGCTCCTTCTGGCTTGCTCCGCCTGTTTTCTTATAGCACCCAGGACCATCAGCCCAATGGTGGCCCTGCCCACAGTCCCACATCAGTCATCAATGAAGAAAATGTACCATAGGCTTGCCCGTAGGCCAATCTGATGGGGGCATTTTTTCAACTGAGGTTGCCTTTTCCCGCACTCAAGCTTGTGTCAAGTTGACATAAAACTGGCCAGCACACACTTCAAATTTAAGGTATCCAAAACTGAACTTATATTTTCCCCAGCTTACTCCTTCAGTTCTTTTTAGCTCAGTGATAGCTACCCTTCTGGTTCATGTCAAAAGCAGGCCTTGGCATTTTCTGATAGGCGTGTTTGTCCTTCACTTCCAGTTAATCAAATCCACTTGGATTTACTTTCAACATTTAACCAAAATCCTATTCCTCCTTCCTTCTAAGCTGAACCAAGGCAGTGGCTTATCTTCACAATGTCTCAATTCCTTCCTCTCTTTCGATCTTTTGCATTTTAGGTCTCTGGCCATAACCTTTGGATTTTTATGTCCAGCTCACTCTTTGCAGCTTCTCAGAACAGGGCTGCTCACAAAAAGGTCATAAAGGTCATTGAGCCCATTTTTTCTTGAATGTCAGTAGATAGGGGATTAGCATAGTCCTGTGAAGATTAGAGAGATGACAAGCAGTCTTCCTGTCCACCTTTGCGGGGTGGGGAGGAGGGGGCCCTGAGAAAGTGTAAGGCCTGAAGGTTTCTCAAGTGGGAGTAGGGCAATGAATGCTTTGTAAAGTGTCGACCCACCCCAGCCACAAGGCGAAGTCTGCAGATGGAAGGAAACGCTGAGGATCTGAATGGGGGAGTCTGGGGCTTGGGGCATTGGAGCACAAGAGCAGTGCGAACAGCACATCTCATTTTTATTACTAGAGCGAGAAATGCATAAAGTGATGGTTATAGTTAGTTTAACACATACAAATGCAGTGAGGGAACATACCTGGTGTTCTGTTTTCTGAATATTACTTTTGATCACATGAGAGAGTCAAGAATACTCCCAGGCCTTTGCCTTTCCCACAGAGATACTGTGGACATGCCAGGGCTTCCCTTCATGTCCTTGCTTTCAAATATGCTCATTTCTCATAGTTTCTGCAGTTCTTTCTAGAAGGACACCGTGTGGGAAGAACATTCTGCAATCTGCCCCAGTTACACAGGTCCCCACAAAGTGTCTTTCTGTGTTAGGCTTGTTTGGTAGTTTTCTGTGCATGATATTGGGATTGAGCTCAGGGTCTTGCTTGCACCATGCAAGCACTCTGCCCCTGAGCTGTCTCCTTTGCCCTTGGCCTCTCAAGTGCTAGAATTGTGAGCATGTACCACTATGTCTGACACTAATGGTGCCACACCACCACTGCTGCCTCCTATTAAATCACTAACTTCTCTTACATCTTTTCCTCCAAAACGGAAAGGGTCTCATAGGCTTCCTACCTCCATCATCCCTGAGCCAGTACATGTCCACTGATTGTAGGCCCTGCTCTGACTGAGCATCACTCGAGGCTGCTAGTGTTAACTATCCTGCTCCAAAGAGAAAAATGATCTGAACTGGCTGTGGTGGTGCTAATCTGTAAGTTCAGCACTTGGGAGGCAGAGGCAAAATAATCAAGTTCCAAGCCAGTTTGGGATACTGTCTAAGGGTTTCTATTGCTGCAATGAAACGCCATGAACAAAAAGCAAGTTGGGTGGGAAAGGGTTTGTTTGGCTCACACTTCCACAATGTAGTCGGTCCATCATTGAAGGAAGTCAATACAGAAACTTAAGCAGGGCAGGAATCTGAAGGCAGGAGCTGATGCAGAGGCCATGGAGGGGTGCTGTTTACTGACATCTTCTACTTGATTTGCTCAGCCTGCCTTCTTATAGAAACCAGGACCCAGGGATGGCACCACACACTTGGACCGGGCCATCCCACATCAATCACTAATTAAGAAAATGCTCTACAGCATTGGTTCTCAACCTTCCTAATGCTGCAACCCTTTAATACAGTTCCTCATGTAGTGACATCCAACCATAAAGTTATTTTCCTTGCTACATTATAACTAATTTTGCAGAAGCAGAAATTATAAATGTAATTTTGGAACTGCTACTCCTTTGAGCATCCTTGCCCTGACCACTCACTGCTTTGCTAATTTTTCTCTGACCTTAACAACTGCTCATTTTCTCCCCACTATCCCTGTTTTTCACTGTTTTGGATTTTTGTTTTATTTTGAGACAGGCCTCACTATGATCCCTCTGCCTTGGCCTCCTGAGTGATGGGGTTGTAGACGTGTACCAGCATACTAGAATTTCTAACCTTTTTGAGTTCCTCTGGTCCAGTTGCTAGCTTTAGTTGTACATTGCTGCTTCTCTTCCTGATTATGTCCCCACAGATTATGAAACTCATGTTCTTGGTGGAGGTCCCTACAAAATCCAACAGGGCAGGATGCTAGCTGGGGGTTGGGGGAGGTGGTCAGCACCACTGTGGCCTGTGGGAAGGATGTATGATGTGGAGAACAGTAGGCTCTTCTCCACTCATCAGGAGTTTTAGAGACACCAGGTTGAGGTGCCTCTCCATTCTGTAGCATTGCAAGGGGAGCTAGGAACTTATTCTTAGGGCTGCAGTCTTCCCACAGAGCCACCCTCTCAGAGAACTCTGCTGCCTGCCTTTTATTGTTACCTTTTCCTCCACTTCCCTCACCAAATTTGAGGAAGCTGGTTTACTTCTGCAGCATGGATATAAAACTCAAAGCCTATAAGAAAGCAGTCTTTTAGTATTAAAGAATAAAGTGAAGTGAGTGTGGACCGCAGCATACGGGAAATCACCTGCCATGTCTGAGGGCAGTTACTCACTTCTAGCTGAGTGTGTCATGTAGGGTCATGATGACACGGTCCCTGTACCTTAAATGTTGGTCTATTTTGAACAGTTGTAAATACTGTGCAGTTGTGGTGGTTTGAACTAGAATGTCCCCCGTAGGCTCAGATGTTTGAATACTTGGTCTCCAGTTAGTGGCGCTGTTTGGGTAGTTTCAGGAGCTGTGGCCTTGCTGAAGGAGGTATGTCACCGGGGTCGTGCCTTGAGATTTCAAAGCCATGCACCGTTCTCAGTTCGCTCTTTATTTCCTGCTAGTAGTTCAAGACGTGAGCTGTCAGCTGTTCCTGCTGCCATGCCTGCCGTCTGCTGCCACAGTTCCTTGCCCTGGTGGACTCTTATCCCTTTGGAACCATAAGCTCAAAATAAACTCCTCTATAAGCTGCTTTGGTCATGGTGTTTGTTGCAGCATTAGAAAAGTAACAGGCAGGGTTGTGTGGTGATATTTTATTCGTGCTCTAACAAATAAAGCTTGCTTGGGGATCAGAGGAAAAAAGCCAGCCACTATATTAAATACAGAGTGGTAACACATGCCTTTAATCCCAGCATTCGGAGGCAAAGATTCATTTGGATCTCTGTGAGTTCAAGGCCACACTTCGAACAGAGTCAGGCATGGTGGCACATGCCTTTAATCCCAGCACTAGTTAACCATAGAGGTCTGGAGGTCTATACAGACAGACAGGAAGTAATAGAGCTGGGGGGAGAGAGGAAGTAAGATGATAGGGTACAGAAAGGTACATAGGCGAGAGTATACGGGAAGTAGCTCCCTTGGGCTGAGGATTTCCTAGCAGTAAGAACTTGTGGCTTGCCTTGTTCTATTCCTCTGATCTCTCAGTTTTCACCCCAATATGTGGCTCCAGGTTTTTTATTAAAAAGACTGTTCATGTTACAGGGTTGATTTTGTTGTTTGTTTGCTTTGTTTTTCTCCTGGAGACTGCTGAGGAGAATGTGCTTCATGTCTGTCTCCAGGGTCTAGCAGCTGATGTCAGTGCCTGCTGACTGCTCTGGGCTCTTGTCATCTCAGACCTGCCATTTCTGTCTACTTTCATGTGATCCTCTCTGTTTCTTAATATCTTATCTCTGCCTTCACCTGCCTCACATAAATGCAACTGAGACTGAATTTACAGCCAAACCTCAATTCAGGGTAAGCTCAAATGAGACTCTCTTAAAAATGTATTTTTATTTTTTAGCATATATGTGCATACCTGAGTATGTATATGTGCACATGTGTGTACAGGTGTTGGAAGTGGCCAGAAGAGGGTGCTAGATCCCCTGGAACTAGAGTTACAGGTAGTTCTGAGTCACACAATTTGGGGTCTGGCAACTGAACTAGGATCTTCTACAAGATCAACAGATACTTGACTGCTGAGTCCTCTCCATCCCCATCATCTTGAGACGATCACATTAACAAGTTGATTGTCTTGGTTACTCTTCTACTGCTGTGATTAGACACCTTCTAGATAAGGCAACTTCTAGAAGAAAGCATTTATTAGGGACTTACAGTTACAGAGGGTTAGACTCTATGACCATCATGGCAGGCAGCATGGCGGCAGGCAGGCAGGCAGCATGGCGGCAGGCAGGCATGGTGCCAGAGCAGAAACTGAGAATGTGCATCCTGATCTTCAAGCAGGAAGCGCACACACACACACACACACACACACAGAGGGAGAGAGAGAGAGAGAGAGAGAGAGAGAGAGAGAGAGAGAGAGAGAGACTGGGAATGATGTAGGTGTTTGAAACCTCAAAGCCCACCCTTAGAGGCACACCTCCAAGAAGGCCACCACTCCTTATCCTTTATAAAACAGTTCTACCCACTATGACCTATGACCATTCAAACAGATGACCTATGGAGGCCATTCTCACTCAAACCACCACAGTGCCCTTTCTAAAATGGAGTCACACTCGCAGGTTCTGGGTGGACATGTCTTGAGAATCACGATTTAAATAACAGTGAACTTTGCTAGGGCTTTGCTCTGCGCTGCCTCCTCTGTGGAGTGTATCCCGTCATCCAGCCTCAGCCACCACGCCTTCCTAGACTCTGCCAGACTAGTCACTGAATTCACTGTGTTATGGTGGGTCAGCAAAGTGTGACTCTGTGTGAGTTGCTTCACTTTCCACAGATCTGTTTCCCCTCATTTTTTATATTTATTTATTTTATTAAATATGTATGAATATTTTGTCTGAATGTATGTCTGTGCATACCTGGTGCCTGAGGAGGCCAGAAGAGGGTGTTGGATCCCCTGGAACTGGAATTACAGATGGTTGTGAGCCACCATGTGGTTTCTGGGAACCAAACCTCTGGAAGAGGACTCAACAACCTCTGAGCTGTCTTTCCAGCCACCCTTTTTTAAGAGACTTATTTTATTTTTTTGGTTTTTCAAGACAGGGTTTCTCTGTGTAGCTTTGCACCTTTCCTGAAACTCACTTGGTAGCCCAGGCTGGCCTCGAACTCACAGAGATCCGCCTGGCTCTGCCTCCCGAGTGCTGGGATTAAAGGCGTGCGCCACCACCGCCCGGCTGAGACTTATTTTTAATTGTGTATGTGTGTATGTGTGTGTGTGTGTGGAGGGGGTATGTGCACATGAGTGCAGATGCCCACAGAAGCCACAAGAGGGAATGGATTCCCTGGAGCTAGAATTAGAGGTGGTTGTGAGCCACTAACCTGGGTGCTGAGAACTTAATCTGAGTGCTCTCCTAATGGCTGAAACATTTCTCTAGGCCGTTGTTTGCTTATTTTTTAGCTGAGATGATGGTCCCTGCCCCTCCTATCAATAGCACTTTTGTTTGTTTAGTTGGTTGATTGTGTGTGTGTTTTGTTTGTTTGTTTTGGAAGGCATCTTTCTATATAGCTCTGACTTGCCTGGAACTGGCCATATACATCAGGCTGGCCTCAAATTCACGGAGACCCACCCGCCTCCACCTCTTGAGTGCTGGGATTAATGGCATGTGCCACCATGACTGGCAATAATTATTTTAATGAAGAGAAATTTCAGGCCTTAGAACAGAGCTTAAAAATAGTACATTATCAATCAACACCTGCTATTGTTATCAGTACCTGTACTATCAAGCATCTCTCCTACTGTACTGAAATTCCTCAAGGGCATCTATGTCTCCTCTGTAATTTCTATAGTGTCTGGCACTGAATAACGAGTGAGTGGGCATATGGGGACAGGGCAGCTAAGTTATCTTAAAATACAACAGTCAGCACAGAGACATGTTTGAAAATGTCACCAGGCTAGTGACTCTTCTGTCCAGCAACAGCAGGTCTCCCACAAAGGAGGAGAATCTTGTCCTGGTCATTTGAGAGTGGTCACCCACTTTGATTTCCTGAGAAGCATGTTGCTCTTCTGAGTTAGTACAACCCATGTAAAACAGAACTTCTCTCCATAAAGGGCATCATTTGCTGATCTGTCACTGCAGTAACTATATTTTATTACTCACACTGTACTTGTTAGCATGGCCTGGGTTCTGAAATAGGAGGGAAGGAAGGTGGGCGAGGGGTGGACACTTGATTTAAAGGAAGAGGGACCACTGGAAGCCTCCATCAGGTACTAGGTATGCTGACTCACGCCAGCCTCTGCCCTCCTCCCCAAGGTTGCTGCCTCTCCAAGGCATCTGAGGAGTATTGGAAGCCTTTAAAATTAGCACTGCATCAGCTCTAGGTCCACCAGAATGTTTTCCAGCGTGGTCCCATAAGTCATTTGTGAAGTTGCCTTCGAGTGGACCCGTGTTCTAGATAGATGGTTTACTCCAGAGAGTTATAAAAGATGTTCACTGCTGAACTGAAGGCTGGTATCACTCTTACCTGTCCAGACCACCCTCAGGAACCCATCACCATCTACCCCTGCCAAGCTCTGTCCTGCATGCTACACCTCATGGAATTCTTGCTACCAGAGTTGTGAAATCTTTCTGGGAGACAAATTCCTCACGGCCTTTTTCTTCTTCCAGCATAAGATTCCAGGGGAGAAATTCCAGTTCCCTGCAGTGCCTAGTTTCCCAGTCTGATAGTCAAGTGGGAAGGGTGTATTGTCTCTTCAGAGCGTCTTCATCCCTGCCAGGTGGGTTACACAAATGGAAATGTGGACTTTCCTCTCCATAATTGCAAAAGTGAAAATGACCTCATAGTTCCCACATTGTAAACTCTTCACACGTGAGTCACCAACCGCAGTCTCAGAAGTTGATTTCTGTACTAAGTGTAACTGTGACTTAAGCCTATCAGAACTAGAGTTCTATGCTAATTCCTGAGGGGAGGAGAAGACCATGCTGGGGAGTCAAGTCTCGCTCAGAGCCCAGGCAAGAGCTGCTGTCTGCGATGAGATTTCCCTGGATGTGCTGAGCTTGGGCAATGCAATAGCAACTCTCTCCTACCCCGAATCTGAAGATTGATGTGGCTCTGTCTCCACCCATAGTAGCCAAAACTATGCTGACGAATAGCACTTCCCAGTTATAATACACTTTCAAAACACGGCATTCTTCATTGTAGCAACTCTCTGGCAGATGTTCACACAGAAGGAAAACCACAGCAATAGTCCAAAGAAAAAGTGGGACTTGTGATATTTTAGTTCTTGTCTTTAGTTTTACATGAAATCAAGACATTTTTAATATTTTATTATGTCTACAGTGTTCTGCCTGCACGCCAGAAGAGGGCACCAGATCTCATTATAGATGGTTGTGAGCCACCATGTGGCTGCTGGGAATTGAACTCAGGACCTCTGGAAGAGCAGCCAGTGTTCTTAACCTCTGAGCCATTTCTCCAGCCCCTAGATTTATATTTTTTTTATTTATTAGTGAGATTAAACATCTTTTCATAAGCAAGTAAAGTGCACATTCTATCTTTTGCCCAATATTCTAGAGATATTTGTCTTTTGCTAATAGCTTTTTGTGTCTTAAATTTATTTTGCAGTTTTATGCTGTAAATATTTTCTCAGATTACTATTTACCATGTTTTAAAGGAGGCTTTTCTTAAACACAATTTAGAATTGTTACTACATAGGCAGTCAGTTGATTCATTTTTTCTCTTTATGTTTGAATGTTTGGAATTTGCTTAGGAGGGCATTCCTCTGGTAGCACATGGTATGCACATGTTCTAAATATTGACCACCACTATTTTTCTGGTCTTTTTTAAGGCTTTACATTATATTGGGAGAAAAATAGTGGCTTTTAATTCATCTAGAGCGACTCTGCATAAAGGGAGTGTCCTGTACCTCAGCTGCCCAGGGGCAGCCACTGATCGTTGTGACAGTCAAGGGCTGGTAATATTTCAATTAATTGGATAGAGCAGGTCTAGAATTTTATTTCAGTGTAAGATAAGGTTTTTTTTGTTTGTTTGTTTGTTTGTTTTTCAAACCACCAGTTAGCATCCAAATACATTTATTGAAGAATCTATTCTGGCCCCGGGCTCTTAATTTTTCACACTGAGTTCTTTGTATCTGAATGAACCTCAGGGCCTTTGCATGTATCTAAATGAATCTTGGGGCCTTCTAGTCTATTGGTTTATGTATCTCTGGTCCCAGAAACCTCCACTTCTAAGTAAGCATAGGACAACTGTGCAAGATGTATGCAGCAGTCTACATTTCAGCACTGTTTAAAATTGGAAACCATATTAAATATTTAGTGAGAGGGTATTGATTTAAGCCACTAAGTGAAATGGTACTAGCTATACACATTGAGCTGGAAGTAGTGCCATGGCATGTGATTGGTTGGGGAGCAGACAACTAAATCGTTACTTATCCAACTTGGAAAATGTGCACATAGCACATATATTCATGAGTATTATCTTTCCATCTAAATTTGGTTTTCAAATTCCAAACCAAATTCAGGTGGTAATAATGAGTTCAGGTATAGACACAGATTATCTGAATCTATTTGGTTCTTGAGTTTTCCATAATGAGCTGTGTGTGTGTCTGGTTTGTACAAGAGACAACAGTATTATTGCCCAAACTCTATCCAAATCTATTTTCTGTAATGATAAATGTGAAGGGTACATGTTTGTTTAGGGATATGTACAGAAGGTAAATTTTAAATAATTCTTACCCCTACTGATGAGCATTCAGGAATTTAAATCTATTTTCTAATGTTTGTGCAGTGAATATGTGTCTAGACTTTGAACTCTGGTTAAAATAGGAACCCATAAGTGAAATTTACAGTGTAGCAAGCCTCCCTTTACAAAATGTTTTTAATTCTGTTGCTAACTTGGGACACGGTCCTGCTAAGCCATGTTAGGAGTGGGTGGGGAGAAGCAAGAACAATTGGGGTAAAGCACAGATACACTCCACACAGGAGGGCAGTGCTGAGTCTAGATAAGATAGTTCATGACTTCCCTCGGTCCAGGCAAGCAGAGTCAAGGTGGCTTTTCTGGTAGGAACTGCTGATTTACAACTTAAAGACAGGACAACCCACGAGGAGAGCTGTGGTCACTCACCAGGTGTGGGGTCCATCTGGTAGTTTCTGCTGCTGGATGATGTTTAGGCAGTTAACAGGACAGTGCCTGTCCCGGATCTTGCTCTGTAGACCAGGCTGGCCTCGAACTCAGAGATCAATGAACAATGTTAAGTGAAAACTACAGCCTCCAACCTCAGGACTTCACATTCTCTGATATGGATTTGGGTTTGACATTTGAAGAATTTTTAAATTGAGGAATCTGACAGGGAACATGAGCTTCTGCACCACAAGAGCACGCCTTCTCGCTGTCAGTTGAGACTCCTTCTCACTGGGGAGACACAAACATGATTAAAGGCGTTTTGTTGTTGTTGTTTGAGACAGAGTCTGGGTCTGTAGCCCAGGCTAGCCAGTAACTCATGTCAATCCTCCTGCGTCAGCCTCCCAAGTGCGGAGATTACCCTAAGGTCATATTGTAGCACACACACACACACACCATGGTAACATTTCCATCCACATTTCCCAGCACTCAGGAGGCAGAGCCAGGTGGATCTCTGTGAGTTCCAGGCCAGCCTGGTCTACAGAGTGAGATCCAGGACAGGCACCAAAACTACACAGAGAAATCCTGTCTCGAAAAAACAAAACAAAACAAAAAAAACAAAACAACAACAAAAAAAAGAACACTGAGTATGTCATGGGGCTTCTCATAGCACAGTGGTATAGATCCGTGCACAAGCACAGTAGTGAAGGGGTGGGTTTCTTCTATGCACAGCTGTAGAAGCAGTCAGTCTCCCTGGCTCTCCAGCGGCCACCAGCCTGTTAACTTCTGTTATTATGCTAATTGGGTTGTATTTTTGTTTGTTTTTGAAATAGGGTCCACTACATAGCCCAACATCCACTTTGATTTACTACAAGGTGATTCTGTGAGAATAACCATGCCTAAGAATTGGAAATTTCTTGCTCAAAATGACTTATGTGTTATTTAATCATGTAAAATAAAATACAGAAGAAGTAAACATCTTTCAGAATTTGAAATATAGCAAGCCTTGCTAGACTGGGGCATTAAGTCCATGCTTTGTCTTTAAATATGTGGTGTATTAAAATGTGTTCTCCGGCCGGGTGGTGGTGGCGCACGCCTTTAGTCCCAGCACTCGGGAGGCAGAGCCAGGCGGATCTCTGTGACTTCAAGGCCAGCCTGGGCTACTAAGTGAGTTCCAGGAAAGGTGCAAAGCTACACAGAGAAACCCTGTCTCAAAAACAAACAAACAAACAAACAAAAGGTTTGTTGCCTTGTTTTGGAAAGAGGGTCTGCTGTGTATCCCAGAGTGCACTTTGACTCTTACATTTTAAGATCTTAAACTTTCAATCTTCAACTTTCAGCCACCATTCAGGTTTAGGGAAAACCATATAGGGAAGTTGAGCCTCTTGTTTACATTTCTAATCCTACCTGAGTATATTTAAACAGACCCTGGAGAAGGGGCAAAGAGTTCAGACCAAAGATCTAGCTGGTTGTGGTCATCAGCCTTTGGTGACAGATGGGGGAAAGCTGACAGGCAACCAGCTCCTGTAACCCAGGCTCTAGGCCCTCCATGGCTGCTGACCCCATCCTTTCTAAGGCAGACTTCAGTCCCACAGTGGAGTGTGAGGAAAACATCACCTGGTGCTTAGGAGGCAGCTCTGAGTGCGTGACCTGGGGGAGAATTCAGAGCTTTCCTCAATGGACAGCCTGCTGAAGCCATCCTTGAAGTCATTGGTCCACCTGGACCTACAGCCTCACTGCTCTGTTCCCCTCTGGTTTGTTAGGAGGCACACCCAACACTCTGATAGAAACCTCCTCTTGGGGCTGGAGAGATGGTTCAGTGGTTAAGAGCAGTGGCTGCTCTTCCAGAGGACCTGGGTTCAATTCCCAGCACCCACATGGCAGCTCACAACTGTCTGTAACTTCAGTTCCAGGGGATCCAACACCCTCACCTAGGCAATACATGCAGACAAAACACCAATGTACATAAAATTAAATTAAAATAAAAAAAAAACTGGTAACATTTAAAAAAACTCTCTGGCCGGGCGGTGGTGGCGCACGCCGTTAGTCCCAGCACTCAGGAGGCAGAGCCAGGCGGATCTCTGTGAGTTCGAGGCCAGCCTGGGCTACCAAGTGAGTCCCAGGAAAGGCGCAAAGCTACACAGAGAAACCCTGTCTCGAAAAAAACAAAACAAAACAAAACAAAAAAAAACTCTCTGAAGAAACTCCGAGTAAATCCTAACTAATGAGCTCCAATTCTGTGAGAGCATGGCCCAGGGGGTAGGGAATGACAAGACCCATTAGAATACAGTTTCCGGGCTGCGCTGATGTTACATGCCTGTAATCCCTTCGCTCAGGAGGCTGCTACAGCAGGGTTGGGACTCCAGGGAAGTGGGGGCTACATAGACGACATTATCTACTAAAACCAGTTTTTAAAAACATACAGCTTTGATTTGCATCTTCAGTTTGGTTTTCACTGAAGCAGTTCGGCTGCTATGGAGGTGTTTGCTTAACCCTCTAGGGGGTTATGGAGGTACAGCAATTATAATCCACCAAGCATGGCAAAGTCAGGCAGAGGTTAAGGAATTTTTTCCCCCCAAATCCCACAGCTATTAAGGAGGAAGGCAGGCCAAACGTCAAGTGTTGTATAGTCTAGATTTTCAGACCCCTTCGCTAGCTCCCTGTCACCTCCAGCCATGAAAGTCCTTCTGGCCTGGCTCAGGCCACCCAACGTCTGCATTCTCCCCGCCTTGCAATTTCCTTCACTCAGCACCCTCTTATGACCTACAGGTGAAAGGGGAGCGGGAAGTCATCCCAGGACTTGGCCCAGAGGATTGGGTGTCAGCTTCCAGCACTGGGAGATGAGAGTTTAGTCCCCGGGCTAGCTAAAATTAGCCAAGTGGGGCCGCTGCTGGGATCTGTACACAGCAGTCCTAAGCAGAGTGGGAACTCAAGTGAGGGCGCAGAAGCCTGGTGTCTCCTGCCCCGGGACTGAAGGAGAGCAAGTGGAAAGGAGGGGTTGACCCTGCCCTAGATGGCTGCAGGTGTTGGCGGTTTGTTGCACTTGGAGACCCCTAGAGTTAGCTCCCTCATAGCCCACTGTTCCAAAGTTAGTGTGTGCCCTTGGGGTGCAGTGAGGGGCTGACAGCTCTGTGAATTGAGGACGGTTCTGCTTTTCTGGGCGCAGCTCAGGCATCCTTCTCTCATGCCTGGTCACCTGCAGCCATCTCACAAGCCTGAGCCGTGAGCTTTTTGCAGATGGCAAGTCTTTCCTCAGACTTGGAGCATGTCTCTCTTCCTGTCCGGAAGGACGGTCTTGAACTCCCTTTACCTGCCCGAAGAACCTCCTCCCGGTCTCCCTCTCCCTGTGAGGATCCCGGCTTACTTTACTTTTCTCTGGCAGAGCCTGACCCCAGTCCCTTGGTTTCAGGAAACCTTCCCTTTCCAGCTTCATCCCTGGAGACCGGGAAGGAGCAGGATGGCAGCGACGACTCGGCAGAACCTGAGATGCTGTGCAGCGTGGAACACCCCAGCCAGTTCTTCGCTGAAGCGCAGAGGCTGCGGGAGCAGAAGCTGCTGCTGGATGAAGAGGTGTCAGTAGGGGGACAGGTATACGGGGTGCATCGGGTGATCTTGGCAGCAATTAGCAGCCTCTTCCAAGGCAGGCTGCTGGACGGTGGAGGTCAGCAGCCTCGCTTCAGCCTCGACGTGACCCGGAGGGGCTGGGAGGCTGCGCTGACCTTTGCGTATGAGGGGGTGCTGGGCCCCGCCACGCAGGACGAAGTGCTGGCTGCTGCAGAGGCGCTGGGAGCGCCCCGGGTGAAGAACGCGGCCCAGCTGAGGCCAGAAGGGCTTGGCAAAGCCAGGGAAGATGAAGAGAAGCTCAGCCAGGCAGAGGAGCTGAGGGAGAGCCTGCACAGCATTGAGCGTCTGTATCGAGAGGGCATCGGGTGCGACCTGGAGCTGGAAGCAGAGGGCTACCGCCTGCGGGGTGAGGGCCGGTAGGGCAACTGCTAAGAATGCACGTCGCAGGGTTTTATTTAGTTTGCGGTGCGAGGGGTGGAACCCAAGTCCTCACTTCCACTCTGCCACTGGGTCACACCCCCCAGCCCTGTGTAAGAGTTTCGGATCATTGCTCCCGCAAGAATGTCCTTTTTGGTATTTTTCCAGCGCCGCCAAGAGATGCACATGCGCAGTTGAATTGTTTTCCTAGACGCCCAGACAAATTTGAACCAATAGTTCAGTCGCTTTTTTTTTTCCCTGCCCAGTGGCTAGATTTCCAGCCAGCTGGCTGGAGCATATAGTACAGTCCATGGCAGTAGAACAAGCAGAAAGTGAATGCCTCAAACAGATTAGCCGGAGGCCCTTGACATCCTACTAAGCACACAGCAAACAGAAGTCCCCAATGTGTCCTTTCTCCTAGATGTGATTCTTTCTGAGGAAAGACTCTGGCAGCCTCCTCTAGACCAGTGGTTCTCAACCTTCTTAATGCTGCAACCCTTTAACACAGCTCCTCGTGTTGTGGTGACCCCCAACCATGAAATACTTTCGTTGCTACTTCATAACCGTAAATTTTCTACTGCTGCCGGGTGGTGGTGGCCCATGCTTTTGATCCCAGCAATGGAGGGGAGAGGCAGGTGGATTACTGAGTTCAAGGCTAGCCTGGTTTACAGAGTGAGTTCCAGGACAGCCAGGGATACCCAGAGAAATCCTGTCTCAAACAAACAAAATTTGCTAGAGTTATTTTGGATGGTCTTAGGCAACCCCTTTGAAAGGGTCATTCGCTGGGCAATGGTGGCACACGCCTTTAATCCCAGCACTCGGGAGGCAGAGCCAGGTGGATCTCTGTGAGTTCGAGCTAGACTGGTCTACAGAGCGAGATCTAGGACAAGCACCAAAACTACACAGAGAAATTCTGTCTGGTGGGTGGAGGGGAAGAGTCATTCAACCTCCAAGGGGGTGTGACCCACAGGTTGAGAAACACTGCTCTCTACTGTACAGTGTCTGCTATTCCCTTATACCAAGATACATCTGACCTGGAACATGCAGTCTGTATGTGATGCAACAAAGTTTAAAGTCACAATAGATTTGTTTAGAGGTTACCTAGTTCAAGGTTATTACTTTAGCAATGAACAAATCAAGCCACATTCCAGCACGATTGAGATTGAACAAGAGGACTGCCTAGAGTTTGGAGCCAGGCTGGGCTACATGGTGAGCGCTAGGCTGGTGTGGACTACATTATGAGCACCTATCTCACAAACCAAAGTGAAAAAGGAAAGAAAAAACAAATCTCGTAGGGCCTTCTAACATAGACCTGTTACACACACACAGGCAGCTGAGAAAGGAGAGTTGACGTGAGTTCCAGGCCAGACTGACTCCAAAACATGCCTAGTCACACCGTGAGGTTCTCAGTGGAGGTACTCCCGAAGGAAAGCTATCCCTAAAGGCTTTCTGCCTCATGGCATTAGCTGGCAGGTGATGGTTTAAAAGTTCATAATTACAACATTTTCACAAAAGGTTGGGGTTCCCACATATTCATAAAACTACGGGGGAACCCATCACTTTAAATCTTACGGTACAGCAATGAGTAAGCGGGAGATTCCTAGTAACTGAGAGCCATTCACAGTTGCGTCTCAGATACAGATGCTGGTTGGTGGTATGAAAGCTGAGCTGGTTTAGCTCATTTCCCAGAAGGTCGATTTTCAACATAGAGTAGGAAACTGTAACTGATGTTTGTTATATCGGGGAAGCACCAGGCCACTACCTACTGCTTAAAAAGGCAATAGAGAAAGCATCACTATCATCAGTTGCCCTTTGAGAGGTACGCATTCCACAACTGGCCAAAAGAGTGTGGAATTCATAAGAATCACGGGGAACACAGAGGCTTGACTAGGACTCCCTGAGACAGTTCCTCGCAGTGTTCTTCTTTCTATCGCAAAATACTTCAAGCACAAAGCAAAAATTAACACTCAAACATCCATCACACTGGCTTAACAATTAATATGCTACTTGTCTATTTCACCTCATTATTTCGGCTTGACATTTTACTGAGGAATGTACATTTTAAAACAAAGGGCTAGAGAGATAACTGCTGGTTAAAAGCTCTTCCTAGTCTTCCCAGCATCCACACTGGCCAGACCATAACTGTCCAGCCTCCATAAGAGCCCATACTCCCATGCACCTACCCACACACACATAAACATAATTGAAATAATAAAAATAAATCCTTAAAGAGGATATTTGAGCGCTCACTTTCTGTTTTATTTTTTATTTTGATAAAGAGTCTCACCAAGTTTCCCAGGTTGGTCTTGAATGCGTTCTTCAGCCCAGGCAGGCTTTGAACTCATGGTCCTCTTGCCTCCATGTAAATGGGATTACAGTGCCTTCAACACAAAGCCCAGTTCTATTAAAACAAAACCTTTTCTATACTTACAGAATATTGCATTTAGTTATTCATGTGTGTGAGAGTATGTGTGTGTGTGTGTGTGTGAACAGCAGGACATTCCAGGACTACAGTGCTTGTGGAGTCAGAGGACAGTTTGCAGGGAAGTAGCCCTCTCCTTCTATGTGGGTTCTAAGGTTAGAACTCTGGTCATTAGTCTTGATGGCAAGTCCCTTTACACACTCAGCCACCTTGCCTGACCCTGTTATTTCTTTCTTTTCTTTTAAATTTTTAAAAAAAATTTTTTTTTTTTTTTTGGTTTTTTGAGACAGGGTTTCTCTGTGTAGCTTTGCGCCTCTCCTGGAACTCACTTGGTAGCCCAGGCTGGCCTCGAACTCACAGAGATCCGCCTGGCTCTGCCTCCCGAGTGCTGGGATTAAAGGCGTGCGCCACCACCGCCCGGCCAAAAAAAAAAAAAAAAAAAAATTTTGAAATAGGGTTTTTCTGTGTAACAGTCCTAGCTGTCCTGGAACTCACTTTGTAGACCAGGCTGGCCTTGAACTCAAAGAGATCCACCTGCCTCTGCCTCTGCCTCCCAAGTGCTGGGATTAAAGGCGTGCACCACCACTGCCCCGCTTCTTTCTTTTCTTAAAGGCTTATTTGTATTATTTTATGTGTATGTGAGTACCTGCATGCATGTCGTGTACCACATGTCTGCCTGGTGCCCACAGAGGCCAGAAGAGGGGGTCCAGTTCCCTAGAACTGGACTTAAAGGTGGTTGTGAGTTGACAGGTGGGTGCTAGAAACCAAACCTGGGTCCTCTGCAAGAGCAGTAAGTATACCACCATGCCTGGCATGGATGGAAGCCATTTTGGTAGGATGGCTGATGGCTGTGGTTCTCACAGCTGTAAATGAAAAGCCCTTATTTTGTTCACCATGCAGTGCCCCCCTTGTAAGTTGTACCCTGCTCTATTCAGTTTATTTTGTGTTTCCTATTAGCAAGTGTTGTCTATAGGATTTTCTCAACTGGTTTCATTAAGGTAGTTTTTCTAGGGAGGCGACAGTGGCACACGCCTTTAATCCTAGTACTCGGGAGGTAGAGGCAGGTGGATATCTGTGAGTTTGAGACCAACCTGGGCTACAGAGCAAGTTCCAGGACAACCAGGGCTACACTGAGAAACCCTGTCTTGAAAAAAAAAGTTTTTAATTAACATGGGCCTAAAATGCTAAAGTGTCCTCCAGACACTAACATGAGAATAATACAGGGTGCTTGGAAATTTTAGAATAAAGACTGAATACAGAAGTACATGTCAAGTCTCCATAGTAAGTTCCAGGCCAGCCAAGACTACATAATGAGACCCTGTATCCAGAAAGAAACAGAAAGAGAGAAAGGTATTAAAGCAAAGACTCCCCAAGTGACTATTTAGACCTATGGAATCATAATCCAGGGAGGGGCAGAGAGGGGCCTGAAAACTGTATTTTTGCTTGTTTGTTTATCTGTTGCGGTACTGGCGAGGGAATCCAAGCTTTGCACATGCTAGACAGGGGCTCCACCACTGTCTCCCGAGAATGAAAGCTGCAAGCATTCCATGCTCTTCCAAAGCACATCACGGCTTGGCCTCTGGGTGACTGGATCAGTTACAAGTTAGGCTTACAAGTTAGGATCCTAGTTTGCTAGCTGTCTTGCAACAGTCTGGGTTTCTTTGTTTCCCCTCCACTGCAGTGCACCGAGTAGCCCTGGCCTGTGGCAGTGAGTTCTTCGGGGCCATGCTTCTGAGTGGGATGAGGGAGTCCCAGGGCACAAAGGTGTCTCTGCGTACCATCTCTTCTCAAGACCTGAGGTTCCTCGTTTCTTTCGCCTACTCTGGAGTGGTACGAGAAAGATGGCCAGGATTGCTAAGAGTCGCCCAGGCTGCGCTGCAGTACCAAAGCTCCTCCTGCCTGGATTTGTGTCAGAGAGCCTTGGCTCAAAGCCTCTGCCCTGCCCTTTGCCTGGCTTTGTTTCCTATGGTTGAAGCCCCTGGTTTGGAGAAAGTCTGGGGGAAAGCCCATCATTACCTCCTCACTCATCTGCCTGCTGTGGCTCTGTGCCCTGCTTTCCCGGCGTTACCCGCCACCTGCCTGGCGGAGCTCTTGGACAGTGATGAGCTCCATGTACAAGAAGAGTTCGAGGCTTTCATGGCTGCACGGCGTTGGCTGGCTGCCAACCCCGAGACCCAGGAGTCAGAGGCCAAGGCCCTGCTGCGATGTGTCCGCTTTGGCCGCATGTCTACCAGGGAGCTGAGAAAGGTGCGGGCAGCTGGGCTCCCCCCTCCTCTGTCGGCCGAGCTGCTGTACCAGCTGATGGTAGAAGCTGAAATCCCAGGGCAAGAGAGGTGCAGGGAGCCTGACCAAGCACTGGTGGTGATTGGCGGGGATGGGCTTAGACCTAACATGGACCGAAGACAGCCATCTTGCAAAGTGTGGTGGGCCCGGGCTTTCCACTGTGGCATGGGTCTGGTACGAACTGTGGAATGGTGCCGGCTGCCTGACCTGCCTGCCCCGGGGCGCTTCCGGCATGGAGCTGCGAGCCTCACAGGAAGTGAACTCTACGTGTGTGGGGGACAGGATTACTACAGCCACTCCAACACTCTGGCTTCAACTCTCAGGTATCATCAGTGTGTAGCAGGCCCCCGTGTGGGCAAGCAAGAGAAAATGCTAATCCAGCCAGCCATAGGCTCCCAGGGTCACCCTTTTTGTATCTTGTCCCATTGTGTCCAGGTGGAGCTCCAGTCAAGAAGGCTGGGAGGAAATGGCACCTTTGTGCCAGGCTCGGAGCTTCTTCCCTCTGGTGGTGTTTGATGGACAACTTTATGCCCTGGGTGGACGGGACAATGGTGTTGCCCTTAATTCTGTTGAGACCTATATCCCTGAACTCAATGTCTGGAGGTAAGCAGGCAAAGGGGCATTAGGGAGAAACTAGATTTGGAACAGGAGAGTGAAGCTGGGCATAGGGGCACGCACCTGAATTCCTAGCACTTCAGAGGCTAAAGCGGGAGCCTAGGCTATAATAGCAAGATCTACCTCAAAATAATATAAAATGAAATCAAGTTGAGCGTTCTAGTTGTCTGATCTTATATTCTGTTCTCCCTTAGGCCAGCACCAGCTCTTCCGGTACCATGTTTTGCCCACGCGGCTGCAATCCTCGAGGGCCGATTGTATGTAAGCGGCGGCTATAGTGGGACCGGCCACTTCTTGGACTCACTGATGCTCTATGACCCCAAACTTGAGAAGCCGGAGACACTTTTGAGCCCAATGGGAGTAGCTCGGGCCAGTCACGTGATGGCTGCTCTGGGTGGGAGGTTGTATGTGGCAGGTGGGATAGGAGACACTGGGGACCTCCTGAGCTTTGAGGTCTATGAACCAAAGACTGATAGCTGGACTCACCTGGCACCCTTGCCCTCCTCCCATGTGGGGGCTGCCGGTGCTGTGCTCCAGGGGGAGCTACTAATACTGGGGGGCTATAGCCACCGTACTTATGCCATCTCCCACCTTGTCCATGCCTACTGCCCCGGTCTGAACCGCTGGCTGTGCCTGGGAACTCTGCCAAGACCTCGGGCTGAGATGCCTGCCTGCGTCTTGACATTGCCCAGTGTGCGGCACATAGCTTTGGTCCCTACTCAGCACCAAAACAAACCTGCTGGATGATTGAGGACCAGCAGTATGTGAGGGAGGGAGGGACAAGAATACCATCACAAAAGGACGGAAATTATGAGAGGATAGAAAAATTGTACTTGCTGGCTTACTTTTAAAATTTATTATCGTTAGAAACGTTCTTGTTATGGTAGCTCTGGCTGGCCTTGAACTTGATGTGTAGCCTGGGCTGGCCTCAAAGTCCTGCCTCAGTCTCCTGAGTGCTGGGATTGTATGCACTACCCCACCTTGATTGAGAGGTCTGATGATGATTGACAGGGTCTCTTGTATCCCAGGGTGCCTCACAACTCCCTATGTAGTCAAGGATGACCTTGAGCTTTTAATCCTCCTGCCTCCATCTTGAAAGAACTGGATTCACAGGCATGTACTGCCTCACGTGGTTTGTGCCAGAGATCAATGCTCAGCAGGTACGCTACCAGCTTAGCTACTTCCCTAATCCTAAAAGAAGGCTCTATTCTTTTTTTATTTGCTTATTTTGTTTTTAAATGGTTTAATATTTATTTTATATGTATGAGTGTTTTGCTTGCATGTATAATGTGAACCACATGCTTATCTGGTGCCTGCAGAGGCCAGAAGAGGGCAGCAGATCCTCTGGAACTGGAATTACAGATGGTGGTGAGCAGCCATTTGGGTGCTGGGAACTGAACCCTGGTCCTCTAGAAGAGCAGCAAATGCTCTTAACCTCTGAGCCATCTCTCCAGCCCCTTATTTTGTGTTTTGAGGCAGTCCCATTATGTACTGTAGATGAGGATGCTTTATTCTTGTTAGTATTTTACTCCATACTGGACCTTGCAGCTCATAAACTGCTTTTGTATATATGATTTCTACTAAGGAAAAGGTGGTTCTGGAACTCATGGGAAATGGGCCTTGGGAGAAGGACTGGCAAATAAATACTCAGGCAAGAGAGGCAACCAGGAAGAACTCCACAAGGATTATTGAGAAATTTTTGATGAAAGAAGTACAGTGAGTTGGGAGCTAAAGATGAAACTCATTGATAGAATGCCTACTTAGCATGGGTAAGGTTCTGGTTCAATACTCTGGCATAAAAAAAAAATTAAAACTACAAAACCCAAACTTCATTAGTCAAAGTATAGGGACCAGGAGAGGACATTGGGACAATTGGGAAATTGATAGAGGAGTATGGAAAGAACTAAACTGTCCCCCGTTTCTTGGCACTTACTCATTTTACTCTCCCGTTCAGCATACCTAAATCCTTCCAACACTATTCTTTCAAGGTAGTTTTGTAGGCCCATGCTTGGCTCCATGGGCTGCCTGTAGAGTCTTCTGGTTCCCACTGGAGACAGAAATCCCCATGAGGTCTAGACATGGTGGTGCACACTGGGAACCCTGGCATTTAAGAGGTGGGATCGGGAGGACCAAGACTTGAGACTGTCTCAAGAGAACTAGACCCAACCAACCAAGTCACCATGAAGGGGAAGCTCCCACCAAGACTTGGACCACATAGGGACCTGAAGCTGGGGTAAGATGGGAGTATTCATGGGGGGAGGGAGGAGAAAGACACAGGCCAAGGAGGGAGTGTCCATGGTGGCAAATGGAAAGTATGAGGCTGAGAAGATGGGGAGAATCCTCTTCAGTGTCTTTCCTTCCCTTTGATGAACTCAAGAAACAGGACTAGAGAAAGGACAATTGTGTGAGGTGCTGTGGGATTAAGAGGGTGGGAGAGCATTGGTGAGGAAGGTGAAGGCCAAGAAGACTTGGGAAAGCACTGTCTTCTTGTCAGTCCCTTCCCCTCATATCATGTTGAACTTATTTCCCTCTATTTTTTTTTGTTTAGGTTTTTGTTTGTTTTAGACATGGTCACATATAGCCTAGGCTAGTCTTGACCTCATTATGTAGCTGAGATGACCTTGAACTTCTGATCCTCCTGCTTCCAACACCAGAGTGCTGGGATTACAGGTGTGGGCTGCCATGTTGAACTATTTGTCTCTGTTTAAGATAGACAAGTAATACCGTTGAAAATGGAAAAGGTTAAGTACAATGTGTGAAAGAGAAGATTGAAGCAGAGAAGGAAGGAGGAAACTGGGGGATGAACATTTTGCTTGTGATGTGTTGATAAAGATGTCTGTGAATAAAGGTTTCATACTGATGAAGTCATTCTTGTCTGAATGTCTCTGCTACAAACAGCATTCAAAGTCAAAGTCCCTGGAATTTGGCTTCTGTGTCAGTATTCTCTGAAACTGCCCTCCATTCATTGTTACCAATGGAGTGATCCATGGCCACTCTCATTTCCCCTCATCTTTCTCCAGCATCTGACTGGCTGAAAACTGAATCTCACCCTGAAACTGTCTCTTCTCTTGGCTCCACAGGTAGCACAACCTCCTAGGTGAGCTTTCCCATCCTTCTCTAACCCAGAGGTGGAGAGCCTCCCCAAGGGGATGTGGCTTTGTCCCAGGTGACGCTGTCAGCGAGGGTTGAAAACTTGGCTTTAGGTTAGAGCATCGACAATGTCCGACCTAGACTGAAAAACTGAGCTGACCCCACAGTTATTCTCTGACCTCCACACATGTGCCATAGCACATGTACCTCCCCCCACCAACACATATCATGCACTCACGCAGACAATAATAAATAATTTTTAAAAGTGAAAACTGTATGGAAAGATTATTTAATATAATTGTGGAATGGAGGTATTTTGGAGATAACATAATTCAAACATTTTGTTTTCTTTTTAAGATTTATTGTTTGAAAATTTGAAGCATGTATATGTTGTTTTCATCAAATCCAGCCCCCATTCCCCTCTAGCCCCTCCCATGCTCCCCCACTTTACCCTCCCAATTTCATGTATTCTTATTATAATCCAACGATTCCACTTAGTGCCGCCAGTGTATGGGGGTCTCTGGGACCACCAGGGCTAGCAATGATCCGAGAGAGGCGAGAAGGAAATCAGGTTCAGCGAGACTTAGCTCGTGCTGGTTCAAACTTCTAGGGTCTGACCCCGAGCAGTTTATTGTAAGCATATTTAGATAAGCACAGTGCAATTTGGAAAACACTTACCTGGTGTAATGTAATCCCTTGTGTACAAGGAGGCATAATTACATTGAAATGCAACTCAAAGTACATGTCATTTCTTCCAAGAAGATGATTTCCAGAGACAGACTCTGTATTAGCCTAGGGAGGGATCTAGCCTGGTGTCAGCCATATGATAGCATAGAGGTCATTTGGGCTATTAGCCACCTCTGGTCCTGGCTGTTGGAGCTTGGGGGATCCTCTGACCATACAGATAACGCAAAGATCACCTGGACTATTATGTATTTCAGATCCTGGTTGTGGGAGGTTGGTATGGCCTGGTAGTTCAGATAATACAGAGCACTGGGCTATTAATCACGTCCATTTCCAGCCTTATGGGTGGAAAATCAAGTTATATGTCTTTTTCTTTAAAAAGACAACCCGGCAAACATTCCTGGCTTCCCCAGTGATCTGAGAGTGCAAGGACCTTTATGCTCCCAACATTGCCAGCATGGGATAGGTTTTCTGGACAGGACAGGGCTGCTGCACATACAAACTCACATGGATTGTCAAACACACTGACCTGCACACAGTCAAGCCAGACAGTAACTCTGGTATAGATAAGGGAGGGCCTCATAAAGTAACACCCCTGGCTGGGTAGCAAAATTGGCAATTGATGGCTACTAGGGATGGGAGAATGAAACTTTTTTTCTTACTATATTATATTTATTTATTTATCTATCTATCTATTTGTGTGTGTGTGTGTGTGTGTGTGTGTGTGTGTACATGTGCAATTACCTCAACACTTGCGTGAAGGTCAGAGGACAACTTGCAGAATCAGTTCTTTCCTTCTACTATGTGGGTCCCAGAGATCACTCTCAGATTGTCAGGCTTGGTGACAAGTACCCTTATCCACTGAGACATCTTGCTGGCCCAGTTTTTTTTTTTTTTTTGGTTTTAGTTTTTCGAGACAGGGTTTCTCTGTGTAGTTTTGGAGCCTGTCCTGGAACTCGCTCTGTAGACCAGGCTGGCCTCGAACTCACTGAGATCCGCCTGCCTCTGCCTCCTGAGTGCTGGGATTAAAGGTGTGCACCACCACTGCCCGGCTCCAACTTTTTTTTAAATTAAATTTTATTTATTATTTTGTGTGTGTGTGTGTGTGTGTGTGTGTGTGTTTTATGTATAAATGTGGGTACACGTGGACCATGGTGTATATTCTGTTTTGCTTCTGTCATTGTGAGAAAACACTGACCAAAACCAACTTGGAAAGGAAAGGGTTTCTTTCATTTTACAAGTTAGGGCCCATTAATAGAGGACAGGAGCTTGAGGCAGGTACCTGGAAGCAGGAACCGAAGCAATGACCATGCAGGAATGCTGCTTACTGGCTTGCTCAGCTTGCTGTCTTGTACAACCTGGACCACCTGCCACCTGGGGTGGCACTGCCCATAGTGGCAGGGCCCACTGGCATCAGTCATTAATCAAGAAAATGCCCCACAGCATATCTATAGGTCAATATAATAGAGGCAAATCCTCAATTGAGGTTCCCTCTTCCCAGGTAACTCTGGTTTTTCTCAAGTTCACAAAATCTAGCCAGCACAGAGTATATGCAGAGGTCAGAGGAGAACTCTGGGAATTAGTTCTCTTTTTCTACAGGGGGTTCCAGAAAATGAACATGGGTCATCAAGTTTTCACAGTAAGTGCTTTTCCACACTGAGCTGTCTTGCAGGCCTGCGATCTATTCTTTAAAGGGGGAAGAAAATAAAGGCAGGTGCTATATCTGTGGAGTTTAAAAAGTGAAGAGGATCCGGGCGGTGGTGGCGCACGCCTTTAATCCCAGCACTCGGGAGGCAGAGCCAGGCGGATCTCAGTGAGTTCGAGGCCAGCCTGGACTACCAAGTGAGTTCCAGGAAAGGCGCAAAGCTACACAGAGAAACCCTGTCTCGAAAAACCAAAAAAAAAAAAAAAAAAAAGAAAGAAAAAAAAAAAGAAAGAAAGTGAAGAGGAGGGTTTTTTTGAGTGTAGCTTCTAAGTGATATAACGACATGAGGACTGAAGCCTGGCTGGCAGGACCATCCTTACAGTTTCAGAGGTTGAGTCCATTATCATCATGGTGGGGAGCATGGCGGCGTGCAGGCAGACATGGTGCCAACTACATCTTGATCAGAAGGCAACAGGAAAGTGGACTGTGACACTGGGCAGTATCTTGAGCATAGGAAACCTCAAAGCCCACCACCACAGTGACATACTTCCTTCAACAAGGCCACACACACTCCAACAAAGCCACACCTCCTAATAGTGCCACTCCCTTTGGGGGCCATTTCCTTTCAAACCACAGCATACCACACTGAAAAAGATGATTGCCCTGGTATGCTTCCCCAACCTCTGCTCCCACCGTTGCTCCACTTTCACATATGTGCCCCGTGTCTCAGACCACTTCCTGTTGCCTGCAAGATGTAGGACTCTCAGCTCCACTCCAGCACCATGTCTGCCTGCATGCCACCACTGTTGGAGCACCTGTCATGATGATAATGGACTAAACCTCTGAAACTGTAAGCCACCACCCACCTCAATTAAATATTTTCCTTGTAAAAGTTGCTGTGGTCACTAGACAGTGGTGGCACATGCCTATAATCCTAGTACTCGAGAGGCAAAGGCAGGCGGATCTCTGTGAGTTCAAGGCCAGTCTCGTCTACAGAGTGAGTTCCAGGACAGACTCCAAAGCTACACAGAGAAACCCTGTCTCAAAAAACAAAAACAAAAACAAAAAACCATAATAAATAAATAAATAAATAATAAAGAAAGAGTTGCTGTGGTCATGGTGTCTCTTCATGGCAATAGAAACCTTAACTAAGACATATGGGATGACATACCTCCTTTGTGAATCGGGCCCACCTCATGAATAAAATGATGCTTCCCAAACAGCTGATTAACTAAAATATGTATTGTCATCTTTGAAACAGAGATGTGACAGCCCGTCCCAGAGACACAATGTTATACAGATCCTCCAGCCTTGCATAACTCATCCTTGGTTTTATGCTCTGGTATCCACTGCAGGGCCACACAAACAGTCCTCCACGTAGGTCACCTCGTATAGGTGATAGGAATGCAGTCAGGCTGTGGCAGCTGTTACATGGCTTTTACTGTGAATGAGAAAACATACAACTGAAGCCAAGCTATCTGCCTAGAAAGAATGTGCCCACACAAGAGAGGAATTATGACGAGAAAGACACATTTCTCCTATCTTCACATTAGTCTCCGATTTGTCAGGAAAGTGGGAAAGGGATTATGAGATGGAGTGTTGGCTTGCTGTTTCTTATGTCTAGTAGACCACAGGGGAGGAAGTTATGCTAAAGAGCCTTTCCTAGGGTCCAAAATCTCGGTACCCATGGGAAGAATTGGATGGTGAGTATATTAGTTACCTTTCTGATAAAACACCATGCAGTTCCAGAGAGGTAAGAGTCCACCGGAGTGGGGAGGCATGGCAGCCCGGAGGCAGGGCTGCTAGAGCAGTAAGCTGAGACATTATATCCTCAACCACAATCGTGAAACAGAGAGAGAAACCTGGAAGTAGGGTGAGGCTACGAAATCTCAAAGGGCTGCACCCTCCTGAACTTCCTTAAACAGTTCCAACGGCGGATGAAGTTTAGATACCTGTGAGCCTGTGGGGGCTATTTCTCATTTAAGTCACCACAGTGAGAACAAAAAGAACTTTGTAGAAGTAACAGAGGATATCTCCTAGTTCTGACCTTGAACAGAAAGAAAAGAAAAGAACAAAAAAACAAGCCCATGGTTCAGAATACAGAGGCTTTAATAACGGCCCACTACAAGAAACCATGGTCATTAGTGAACACACCAAATCTGAATTGCTTGAATTGGAATGTATTTGTTTGTTTGTTTGTTTATTGAGGGTGAGAGGCTCTTAAGGCTGTGAGACTCCATGCCAGATTGGACCCGTTTGAAGGCCGTGGAAGTGGAAAGATGGAGTAAAACAACTATCCACCCCTTTTTAGGATAGAGCTTAACCTGAAGCACTAATGGCCTTAATAGAACTGAGTTCCTAGGATCATGTAAAAGAGACTTGAGCTGGACATGGTGGCACACAGGTGGAGATCAGATGACAGCCTGAAGTAGCCAGCTCTTTCCTTCTA